AGCACATTTGTGGGTGGATGTTGATGCTATGGATGCTACAGTGTGTTCGTGCGTGCATGCGTCTGTGTGGATGCTACAGATGGTGTGTGTGTATACACATCTGTGTGGATGCTATAGATGGTGGTTGTGTGTGTGTACATCTGTGTGGATGCTACAGATGATGATGTGTGCATACATCTGTGTGGATGCTACAGAATGTGTGTGTACATCTTTGTGGATGCTACAAATGGTGTGTGTGTGTGGTTGTGTGCGTACATCTGTGTGGATGCTACAAATGGTGTGTGTGTGTGGTTGTGTGTGTGTGTACATCTGTGTGGATGCTACAGATGGTGGTTGTGTGTGTGTGTACATCTGTGTGGATGCTACAGATGGTGGTTGTGTGTGTGTGTACATCTGTGTGGATGCTACAGATGGTGTGTGTGTATACACATCTGTGTGGATGCTATAGATGGTGGTTGTGTGTGTGTACATCTGTGTGGATGCTACAGATGATGATGTGTGCGTACATCTGTGTGGATGCTACAGAATGTGTGTGTACATCTTTGTGGATGCTACAGATGGTGGTTGTGTGTGTGTGTACATCTGTGTGGATGCTACAGATGATGATGTGTGCATACATCTGTGTGGATGCTACAGAATGTGTGTGTACATCTGTGTGGATGCTACAAATGGTGTGTGTGTGTGGTTGTGTGCGTACATCTGTGTGGATGCTACAAATGGTGTGTGTGTGTGGTTGTGTGTGTGTGTACATCTGTGTGGATGCTACAGATGGTGGTTGTGTGTGTGTGTACATCTGTGTGGATGCTACAGATGGTGGTTGTGTGTGTGTGTACATCTGTGTGGATGCTACAGAATGTGTGTGTACATCTGTGTGGATGCTACAAATGGTGTGTGGTTGTGTGCGTACATCTGTGTGGATGCTACAAATGGTGTGTGTGTGTGTGGTTGTGTGCGTACATCTGTGTGGATGCTACAGATGGTGGTTGTGTGTGTGTGTACATCAGTGTGGATGCTACAGATTGTGTGTGTACATCTGTGTGGATGTTACAGATTGTGGTTGTGTGTGTGTACATCTGTGTGGATGCTACAGATGGGTGTGTGTGTACATCTGTGTGGATGCTACAGATGGTGGTTGTGTGTGTGTGTACGTATGTGTGGATGCTACAGATGGGTGTGTATACATCTGTGTGGATGCTACAGATTGTGTGTGTACATCTGTCTGGATGCTACAGATTGTGGTTGTGTGTGTACATCTGTGTGGATGCTACAGATGGTGGTTGTATGTGTGTGTATGTATGTGTGGATGCTACAGATGGGTGTGTGTACATCTGTATGGATGCTATAGATGGTGTGTGTGTACATCTGTGTGGGTGTGGATGCTACAGATGGGTGTGTATACATCTGTGTGGATGCTACAGATGGTGTGTGTGTGTGGTTGTGTGTGTATATCTTTGTGGATGCTACAGATGGTGGTTGTGTGTGTGTGTACATCAGTGTGGATGCTACAGATTGTGTGTGTACATCTGTGTGGATGCTACAGATTGTGGTTGTGTGTGTGTACATCTGTGTGGATGCTACAGATGGGTGTGTGTGTGTACATCTGTGTGGATGCTACAGATTGTGTGTGTACATCTGTCTGGATGCTACAGATTGTGGTTGTGTGTGTACATCTGTGTGGATGCTACAGATGGTGGTTGTGTGTGTGTGTACATCAGTGTGGATGCTACAGATTGTGTGTGTACATCTGTGTGGATGCTACAGATTGTGGTTGTGTGTGTGTACATCTGTGTGGATGCTACAGATGGGTGTGTGTGTGTACATCTGTGTGGATGCTACAGATTGTGTGTGTACATCTGTCTGGATGCTACAGATTGTGGTTGTGTGTGTACATCTGTGTGGATGCTACAGATGGTGGTTGTGTGTGTGTGTACATCAGTGTGGATGCTACAGATTGTGTGTGTACATCTGTGTGGATGCTACAGATTGTGGTTGTGTGTGTGTACATCTGTGTGGATGCTGCAGATGGGTGTGTGTGTACATCTGTGTGGATGCTACAGATGTTCATTGTGTGTGTGTACATCTGTGTGGTTGCTACAGATGGTGTGTGTGTGTACATCTGTGGGTGTGGATGCTACAGATGGGTGTGTGTGTACATCTGTGTGGATGCTACAGAGCGTGTGTACATATGTGTGAGTGCTACAGATGGTGTGTGTGTGCATCTGTGTGGATGCTACAGATGGTGTGTGTGCTAGTGCATGCGTACATCTGCAGAGATGCTACATATTGTGTGTGTGTGTATGTGATTATGTGAAAGAATATCTGCAAGCACATGAGTACAGATGTTGTAGCCATAGTAACTGAGCTCGGTCATGGTATCTAGGGTTTCTGTATTTCGTTGGCAAAAAAAACAGATATCAGATGGTTTTGAAACTCTTCACCACAGGAAACAAGATATTTTTTTGTTTACACGTGGCCTTCTATCAGCTTGTAAAAAAAATAATTAAAGTCAAAAACCCAATTATCAAGCTATAGAGGAAACAAAAATGTGTCAGAAGCACTCCAGATTGTAACAGTTAGAGAAATTATGATACAGTGCCCTTTCCTATAGAAAAACATTGACAGGTTCAATCTGTTTTTAGAAATGGAATTGTGAAATGTAAAAATGCACTGCTTTGATGTGTCGAATCTGATGTCTCTACTCAGTGAGAACATTTCCCCGTCATTCTAGAAACTGGTTTCAGCATGCCAGTCTGTGTGGGTGGAAGTTTGAAGTGTCCCTTGCTTGATTTGACTTGTGGTGATGCACCTGATAGGAGCAATCACTACATTTAGGCACAATGCATTATGAATTGGTCGGGACTGCTTGCTGAGTCTAATTTCTGTGAACAGATCCTGAAATCCATATACAATCGGTCTGTCGTCTGATCATTATGCAATAACGAAATTGTCAGCTTAGGGTTGAATTGAAGGCATAAAGAGGTGTCGGTCGTAATTTGTTTTGTAATTGGAATAAAAGTCCATTGTCATCTTGCAATTAAGACAAGTGATTGATTTGTCATAAGTCAGTCAAGGAATGCTCGTCAAACCTTCTGAGGCAAATGATTGTCCTCTTGCATAGTCTCATATTAAACTTGATGTTAAGCTGCTGTTAAATGATGGTTTTTGCTTTCTGCTGACCTACTGACTCAGGCTGATAAATGAAACTGGTGATTGGATGGTCAAAATAGCTACCTTATATGGATAATATACATATGTAAGAGGCCATATATAACAGAAAACATAAAAAAATTGAATCTTTATGACCATAAAGAAATCACTATGAGATCACTGTTATTATTGTCCATTTTGTCGCACTCATTTAGTCCAAGTGAGTCAGCATACCCTGTTGTCGTGGATCTGTGCTCACACTATCAGCCACTGGTCTGCACAGTTGACCTGGCTCACTGAGTGTTTTGTCATAGCCTCACATCATGTATCAGTGCTCACACTATCACCCTTAGATACATCTTGTCAAAAACAGCATAAAATCCAACTGACTCTACCATTCATATGGAGATCCAGGGTAAGAATAACTCTTTCATTCACTCTTTCACTGTCCTACCTACCCATCAATTTTCTGTCGCCCCTCCCTCAACCATCTTTACAATACCGTATTGCGCTCGCTCACTCACTCATTGTACTGATGTCTGGACCCACATCATCTATTCCAGCGCAAGGAAATACCATGCTCGTTATAACAGAATTCTACACCAGGAAAACGGGGGCACGGGTGGCCCAGTCGTCTAAGGTGCCGCGATTCTCTGTGCAGAGTTGCATCCCTTGGGCACGCCAGAAACCTATGATTGTGGGATCGAATCCCGGTTGGCCCCTATTATGTTTCTAGGTTTGTCAGCACCATACCTGTGCTCGTGGGTTTCACCGAAGCGGTAAACGTCTGAGACCTGCATCACTTTGGACTTTCCTCCCACATTAAGCTGACATGCCGCGATATAACTGGAATACTGGCGTTAAACCCAACTCACTCACTCACTCACACCAGGAAAACACAAATAAAAAAACAATTCTGACCTTGATAGCCAAAGTTATTGGGAAAACTTATTGGGAGAGACATCATGTATGTGATAGGGGTATCTCTGATTGTCAACTGCCTGCACTAGCTCCTTCTGGCTACTGATGGACAAATTTAGATGCAGGAAGGATTTGCCGCTTTGTTCACACTGCAGTTTTAAGTCTCTGTCTGAACATCCTCTTTGAACTTTTCAGACAAAATTGATAGAAAATTACAACTATGACCATCTCTCCTAGATCTTTGTTTAAAGAGAGGCCTTAGTACCCTGGCTCCATGAAGGCCAGCCTCCAAACCATCATTCTATCAAGCTCCACAATGGCACGCAAATTGCCAAAGCTAACTCCAAAGCAGGTCGGAATGCAACAGAGCGATTGTAATATGTGTAGACGAGCAATCTGTGGAAGGTTCCTGGCTAGTGGAGAGGGGCAAATCACTGCTGTTTTAAAATGCATTGGAGGAAGAGTTTCAGTGGTGTTTCAGGAGCCCCTTATGACCATACTGTCGACAGGTTATCATTGGGGAAATACTCACTGCAGAAAGTGGTCGCCATGCTGTTTTGGGCTTAAGTGTCTTAAATAGAGATCTGAAGTTTTAGAAATATTAAAGGTGCATGAGGTTTTTGTTGTCTTTGGTTGTTAATGGAGCTTAATTGGACCTGCGTCACATGTGTATCATCGTATAATTGAATATAGTTGGAGAAAGTCATTAAGAAGGATATATGGACATTATGGTCTCTTTGTGAGTTGCCTTGATGTCGTGGGGTTTGCAAATTGGTTTAGGCATGGTCATTAGATTTAGTAGTAGAAAGAAGTAAATCTTTGTGAGTTCATTTTTTCTTAACTTAAAACTTCACGTTTGCTTAAAAATTAAGATGTGCACATGCTGCATGTTGCAATGACATCAGATGAAATTGACATGTTATCTTTTTCAGTGGCAAACCCACCTGACAAGTCAAAAGATGACAGCAGTGTGGGGTCATCAACAGCTGCTGCCACAGCAGCAGCAACAGCAACAGCCAGGAATGGGCAGCTTTCACGTAAGTCACTGTTGCTATCTCCTTTCTCACAGGGGACACAAGTGGCACATTGGCCTAAGGCGCCATGGGTTGCATAGTGTGGTGCGCTATCTGCAACCATGAATTCAGATCCTAGGTTTGGCTAGATTATAACCTTCGGTTTGTCCGTACCATATGTGTGTGGTAAAAGTGTTCTGTTTTTGTCTCATTAAGCTGTCATGCAATGTGGTATTGAAATATACTGTTCACCTCACACATGTTTTCCATCATCTAAATATCAACCAGCAAAGATCCAACACTTGAAGACATCTGACTGAGTCAATACATGCATGGTGTCCATAATTAGGACGTATTCTGCAGAAATGCCATCCAATTGATTTAAACTTGAGTGTTACCAAATTACCTCAGCTTGTAATTGCAAGCTCCTCGCTACGATTATAAATCAAGTTTATTGCAAACGCCATCTGGTTAAGTCTCTTGACGTCACACTTGAGTTTGCGTAAATCAACCCAGAGTAGGAGATATTGTGATGTAGGGCACCAGGAGGTAAGAATATGATCCATATGCGTAGATTGTACGTCATTTTGGGCTCATTCATTGCGGGCATATCGGTCATATTCATAAATTTATGTATCTTTACAACAGACGGTTCCAAAGGGTTAATTAAGTGACACCATGTCCCCATCAACGGCCAAGTCAATTTCTGCTTGTCATTTTGGTATATTTATACATGAATCTGTCGTGATCGTGATGTCATTTTTAGTTGTTTCTTCATGAATAACATAAAGAAAATTCTTACAGTGTGAATTTCAATTGCCCTCCAAGTCTTAAATAATGTCATTCATTTTTGGTAATTTTGTTTAAATCAAAAGATGGTCTTTGAGCTACGTAGAAAATCAGCATTTGTGTTGTGGCCAAGTGGTTAAAGTGTCTTGTCTCAAATACCATGTTTTAATCCCCTCAATGGTACCATTAGCATGACTTTGATGCATTTTGGACTATGTAACCTCAACTGAAGATTTTTATGGATTTCTCGTCAAATATGCAGAAGGTGTGGTCAGAGGCCATACAGTTAGAGAACAAAATATTAAATATACAGTTCAAATCTCACTGAACAGGACAGTAGTTTGTAAATGCTTATTGATGTTGGTTGATTTAAATGTATTTTATTTACAGACTTTTAGATGTTGTACTAGTCCTGTAGACTTCACTGGTTTCCTTCATGATAATATGACTGACCTCATTGTATTTTCTCAAATGATGATTTTAGTTTAACATTAAAAGAAATATTATGATTTTTGGTTTGCCCCCAGGTTTGCCCTTATAACATGCTGGGATGGGATTTCACCAAAGTGGTAAATGTCCACAATCTGCATCACTGCATGCTTTCCTCCCACATCAAGCTGACATATCGTGATATAGCCTAAGTGAAATACTGTTCAAAGTGGCCAGACTCACTCACTCACTTACTAAAGGGATTGTTGGTGGACTGTTTGTATTGTGTGTTTCAGGAACGGGATCTCTCACAGTGTTACGGAGAACCAACTCCCGGAAGACGGGGAGTAGCAGCAGCAGGGCTTCCAGTATCAGCATCGACAGTGTGGAGTCCTATGCCTCCATCGATGTTGGTGTGGATAAACTCCCAGGAGTTGATGCTCCCGAAGCCTCCCATGCGTGTTCAGTTAGGTAGGAGACAGAACTCTGCTACATTCCCTTCAACAGCTCTCTACAGTTATGTAAAGTTCGGTCCCTTGTCAAGGTTACCCTGGATATGAATTACTGTCATGGATCTCCAAATCTGCTAAAAAATATACATTGGGATGATATAATTGAAATAATTAGATAATTATTTTAAATATTTTCTTAATTTTCATATTTTAGATGGAGAGTTACTGATTACTCAGATACTATATCATTCTATACATTTTGGACATAGCAAAGACCAAGATGATAATTTTGTTTTCTTCATGATGTTTAAGGGCTTACAATAATGGCCATTGGTTTGTTACACATGGTACCTGATTGTGCAAAGTTACCCATGGCTGTTGCGCCTACTGGCCCCATCTGGGTTGTCATGTGGCTACGATATTGCTGTTGCTCCTACAGGCCCCGTCTGGGTTGTCATGTGGCTACGATATTGCTGTTGCTCCTACTGGCCCCCATCTGGGTTGTCATGTGGCTACCATATTGTTGTTGCTCCTACTGGCCCCATCTGGGTTGTCATGTGGCTATGATATTGCTGTTGCTCCTACTGGCCCCGTCTGGGTTGTCATGTGGCTACGATATTGCTGTTGCTCCTACTGGCCCCATCTGGGTTGTCATGTGGCTACGATATTGCTGTTGCTCCTACTGGCCCCATCTGGGTTGTCATGTGGCTACGATATTGCTGACTGGCACACAGTATGAGTTGTGTCCAGGTGACACTTGCGCAAAGCAATCGCTGAGCTACTTAAGTCAATTTCTTTGTGTCGACGCAAGCCCTTGGTAGCTTGTTGTAAAATTACCCTTCTTAGAAGTAGTTTCTCATGCCCTACTCGCTCTTAATAATGGTTTAGTTTTTTTTGCCCAGTTATGAAACAACCTTTCAAAGTCAAAAATTTCTTTTTGTGCACCAGATTCCAACTTCTCTTTATACGTCTCTTCATACATCGCTTCATCTTTTGAGCCGAGGGGTACATAAGGATCAATATCATGTTATTGATTTGAATCTTAATGAAAATGAAATAATTCAAAAATAAAATGCTCACTCCCTTCCAAGTCAGTTTATAAAGTCATGCTAAAAAAACATTCTTTATCTCATACAGTGATGGAGTGGATCAATGCTCAGAATATCAACCACTGGATTGTTTGTTTGTTGTGCAAATATCTCTTTGAGAAGTTAATTGACAATTTCAGTGTGAGTGAATATTTTGATGCATCAACATTTTTTTCAAATTTTTATTCCTTGCCATTGTTGGGTGATTGTTTGCTGATATTTGAATGTTATTTGAAGTATAATTGTTATGATAATTATCATTATTCTTGTTTACATCAGATTACGGCAACTTGTGCGGAGGTTAGAAAAAGATGATTTATCCAAAGAAGATTTAAAGAATAACTTGGAATATGCAGCATCAGTGTTAGAATCCGTGTACATAGATGAGACAAGGTGAGAAATGTTTACATTATTGCAATACATTACGCAATTTGTGTATATTTCATTCCTATTGCATGGGAAATGTAAGTAAACATTTCCAGTTAGCATAGATTGTTGTGTAACTTTTCATTTCAGAGTTTCAATTTTAGAATGTTGCAATAAGAAAATATAACATTTGGAAAATGACCCCAAAAAAATTATATTAGAAAGGAATGAAAATCAAACACAGTATTTTTAAAAGACTGATATCAATGCAACTAATTTCCAGCTTCAATCCATGTTCAATTGATGTAATATTATTTATCTTTATTATTATCTTTTTGTCTTGAAATCTTCAATAGTCTTGGTTTGATTTAACATTGCTTTCCCTTTTTCTGCCACCTTACATATGAATCAAACCAGCTGTTGTTAGAAAAACAAAAGGAATTATATAGTCACTTTGAAGAAAATATTAAGATAAATACTTATGAAGACCTTTGATCATAACAACCCATTATATTGAGATTAGGCTGTTGTTATGGCAACAACACAATGTCATCATGAATTATTGTGTGCTGTCATCACACCTTTTGATGATGTCATCAATGTGCACAAGTATAAGAGAGACTTCCTGTTTTGATCATGAGTCAAATGGTTATCAGGGGGCACGGGTGGCCCAGTCGTCTAAGGCGCAGCGATTCGCTGTGCAGAGTTGCGTCCCCTGGACACGCCAGAAACCTATGATTGTGGGTTCGAATCCCGGTTTGCCCAGATTATGTTTCTAGGTTTGTCAGCACCATACCCGTGCTTGTGGGTTTCACCGAAGTAGTAAATGTCTGAGACCTGCATCACTTCGGGCTTTCCTCCCACATTAAGCTGACACGCCGTGATATAACTGTAATAGTGTTAAAAGCGGCGTTAAACCCAACTCACTCACTCACTCAAATGGGTATCTCTGAATAAGTTGAAATGTAGGCAAAATAACATCATTCAGAATAATTATAGTTGAACAAGACCTGTTACTACATATGCACCTGATCATGGGAACCCCAATATCTTGCACCCCAGTGCTGAAAAAAGAAAAAAGAGATAAAGGAGAAGAATAAGGGAAATAGGTTGTTCCAGGGTATGGTCCACTGGTACCATGGAGACATGTATAAACATGCTCTTTTTAGTAACAATCTTATATTCGTCATTTGGCAATTGTGTGTTCAGGCGATGCAGCCTCTATTCAACTCAGTAACTACCCTCCTTTTCCCAGTGTTCCAACATAATCATGAAAGCCAAAGAGTCCTTGTCATGGGATCAAAACCCATGGACTCCAGACACACCCTCCCTCAGTCACTGGTAAATATTATTGAATTAATGGATACATAACAGAAATCCTCATGGAACCCTGGACTCCCCTCTGTATGTAGATCTGCATTCCTAAATGTCCTTTCAAGAACAAATAAAACCCAACGTTTGATCAGTTGTCTACCAATAGCTCTTTTGGAATCCTGTTATTATGGTCGTATGTAATTTTACCTAGTTAGACTCGATGTCTGTGCCAAAAGCTTTTGAGTGTTCTGGTCGAAACTTCAATCTTGTCATCATTTTCAATAACTCTTTCTCATTGTATTTGGACTAGTGGCAACTGATCTTGCTAGACTGAATAAATATTTACTAGTCTCAGTCTTCAGACTAGTGGCTAAAGTGGAAGACCAGGCTTCACAGTCTGCTGTCAACATTGTGTGTAGGGCTTGATGTTTGAATCTGTGCCATGTATGATATTGAGGCCTTGTTTCTATACACTTAGGGTAAACGTGATACGATCTGAGTTTGAATCAGGTTCTTCAGACAACTCTTTAACTGTGTCCTGGGACTTGATATGACTTCCATTTGAAACAAGTCTATATTCGCACGACTGATATGCTATTTGCAAAGTCCATTCTTATGATCCAGCTGATATGGTTTATTTAACCCTCACTCAAACACTGATCACCCCCTCTAATGCTAGAGCAACATTTAGTTTCTTTTGTCATTGTGAAACAGTTTGCTTAAAAAATGTGTCTTTTGGCTCAGAGAGGTCAAACAAAAAATGTTGTTTCAAAACAGTAAAATACACTAAAATATGTCTAATTTCAAACTGACCTTTAGCTACAAATGTTAAATTATTGATTTATAGCAATGTCTTGTACCATCACTGTACCGTACAGTATCACAGTATCATTTCGGCACCGGCACCGGTGCTCCAGTTCACTTAGTCTGGTGCTGCTTCTCCCCTATCATTAGGATTTTTTTCTTTTCATGATTTCAGCTTTTACATTTTATTACTGACATATTAATTTCTTTGAAAAGCAAATCAAGAATTCAAGATCTAGAAAATTGAGGTAACTGCTCCATGTGATAGTTTCTCCATCCCAAAATGAGAAGATTAGCTAAAGCTAAATGAGTCCCCACAAATAGTTCACATTATCGTACCAAGAGGATCATTTGGTTAGAGATATGGCCAAAAGTTCAACGTCTTTCAGCAATCTTTTGAAAAAAGCTTTTAGAAATCAAAGTAACGTTCTGAAAGACACATGCTTTTAAAGGTCACAGACTCTATTTTTGGAGATATTTAGTGACTGTTTATGAGTCTGAACAAATGAAATTAGAAATATCTTGAAGAATATTCACCCACCTAGAAGGTATAATCAAGGATGTTGAACAGAGTGCCAAACAAGCTATGTGCTCTTTTGAGTATGACTAAAGCTCTTGCGGTATTTTAGATTTTGTCGATCGCATGAGATTGAGCCAATCTAATTAATTTGCGTCCTTTATCGAATGTTCGAGGCTCAACTACTGACCAGTGGTATCTGCTTTCGGCTCCAAACCTAATAACGGCCGTGCGATAGGAACAGCAAAGGGGTCGTGTCCCCTTCTCCGAATATTCTCATTAATGTGTGCAAGAATTTCCATGGCATGAGAGCATTCATAGATTCAGTGTATGTTGCATTCAAATGGACATCATGTAATTAATGGTGGCAGAAATCTCGCTCAACTTGGACTCCCAAGAGCCTCTGCACATGTTTGTCATAATTGAATGGCTTTATCGAACTGTTGGACAGGTTTTCCATCATTCACCCAACAACATTAGTGGAATAGGGATGGGGGTTGATGTATCAGATGCACCACAAGATCAAGTGGGACAATCATCTAGCTAAGCATAGTGTATGTGCAATATGTGGTTACTGCACACAACATTCGGATCTCAGCAGGATTTTTGTTTGAAAAATAGTTTACATTTCAAATATCAAGGAAATTTATTTGATGTTAAGAAAATTACATATATTTGATGTTAATGTATGAATAATATTTTTTGTATTAAAAAATGCAAAATTATAATTAAATTTGTCATACTTATGCATAAAATGATTTCTATTGAACAACCTGTCACCTAAATTGTTTTACCAATGATTCATGATCAAAAGTCTGGAATTACAATACAACTGATAGTAAGAATTTTTAAGGTTATGGCATATCAAATAAATCATGAATTATTTTCAATTTTATCTGCCTTTGCTAAAACGTTTGAGTTTTCTTGCCTGAACTTCATTGTTGTGTTATTATATTGCAGACTTTTTTTTATATTAATTCCTTAGACCTCATTTCATTCAGATATAACAGTTTGAAATAATTTAATTAAAGAAATAATACTTTCTGGTTTCCTTTGTCCACAAAATATGATCTGAGTTTCTGGTAAATATGTTCTTGCCTACTGATAAAAAAGAAGGCTTTCTAATATTGTGTTCTCTCTAGAAGATTGTATTAGTTACCTAAACATAACGGTGCCCAACAGAAATACAACTGAAGTCATGTAAGGCATGACCATTATAAGATTCTGGCCATCGAGCCAGATTATATCAGACATCCCACTTATAGCCATGAAGATAACAAATACGCATTAGTTTCCACCCTTGACAAACTCATCGATCTCGATTCTGTTGATTTTCCATTCCTCACGGTCGTGTGTCCAAACATATCCATAGTTTAGTTAGGGAAAAGGTGAGGTCTTAATATCCTGTGATTTGCTGAAATGATCTGGAAGTGTGTATTCTAATTTCCTGAATCATGTGGACTCACGATTTGTCCATCCAAACAAATGACCATGCTGTGCTTATATCCAGAAGTCATGCTACAAACGGACCATTGTGAGCATTGCACAGTAGAATCAGATACTGGTATGTTGGGGTGAGAATTAGGTGCAGGAATATTTGGACTGGGATGTTCTGGTCGATGTTGAAAATGAACAAGGAGCAAACACAATATTAATGTTATTCTAATTTTCAAATTTTGTTTTACCTTAGGGCAGCATGCAACTTAAATTTGTATTTTACATGTATCTTGATCCTTTTAGAAATTTTAGTTGTAGAAAACAAAATTGGTTGCTACTGAGCAGTGTTTGAAACTAAGCAAGGTGTCTATGTCATAACCCCAGTGTTAAACACTGAAGATTTAGGGGGTCCCTAGATTCATATACCATAGAAGAATTCAAACACTGATGGGCAAATGGTTGAAGTTTAGCTAAGACTAGTAAAAATGACAATAAATTTCTAAACCTGCATAGTTTACTCATGTCAAGAATCAATCACAGATCTTTGGCAGTAGATTGAGCACAGGTGGCCCATATGTCTAAGGCACGGAGTATAGAATCCTTTTTGTGGTTTTGAATCTCAAACGCCCCTGATAATGTTTCTTGGTTTGTCAGCACCATAGCCATGCTCATGGGTTTCACCAAAGTGTAAAACGTCTAAGACCTGCATCACTTCTTCACTGTTTGCTGACATGCGATAGTAAAACTCAGTGTTGATCATATGGCATGATGGTCAAAGGGTCCCTAATGATTAAAGTTAAAGATATAGGGGCTCCTGTGATTCCAATACCATAGGACAAGGCCTCCAGGACACCAGGAGCCCCCTTCATTTGAACACTAACTGAAATATTGTTCAAAGGTTTGGCTGAACTTACTGTCTCACTCTTTGGTGGTCTCTGGGAACATAACATCAACCCACTTTACTGATGAATATTGATTCTGAACTGTGACATTGCCTTTGATGTGTAGGCAAGATAATCACCTTTGTGTGACTGTTGTATGTTTTATTGCTGATCATGCTTATGATTCAAAAGCTGTTGATAGGCAAATCTGGAGATGGACATTTCTGATATTGACTAGATAAATATGATCATAACTACCCTCAGATTATACAAAAGATGACATGAAAGACAACATATCGGTGACTGGGTTGCGTGATAAGCAAATGTTTTACATAGAACCAGCTGATTCAGAATAACATGATTATTGATATTCACCATAATCTAACATCTGGCATTGTGAGGATGGCTTCGTCTAGTTCAAAAGTGACATCCTCAGATTAAAATAGACAGTGCTTGACTTCAGGAATACCAATATCTTGTCAAGTGCCGACAGATCACTATTTCAAATCTTCCTTTGAGAAATAGGTGACATCTTACTTCCTGGATGTGTCTGGAGCAGGGTTGCATTATATACTAATGTCATTGGGATATTTTTGTTCACTTATCAAGTCCGTAGTATTAGTCTTGATTGCAACATACATGTATCTATTTCAAATTATGGGACCAGTTAAGAACAATGGTTTTAATTATCTTTTATGTAAATTCTGCTAATTTTTGGGGGGATATTCCTTAATTGTAAACTTGATTAAAAAGGAGTATTTTCAGTGTTGCAAAGTATTAACCACGTAGTGGATCAAGAGCTTTCTCTGCTGTGTTAATTCTAGTTCTTTCACTCTACAAGTTTGGAATGTCCTGATTGCAGTAATTGTTGTCATTTGGGGATTGTTATTGAATGAACTATTGGATTGTTATATCCCTGTATTGTGGCATATAATAGGAAATTAATTAATTCAGGACATCAGTTTCATGTCATTTCCACATGACCGACCATCCACAAACTCACATTAGTTGGCTGTGAAGAGTTTCATATAGTTTTTAAATGGTTTATTGCATGCTATTGATGAGGAAGCTTATAGCAGTCAGTCATTAGATTGACCCTTTTATAATGCAAAGAATAGCCTTTGTATTTTCTGATCAATTGTAGAACCTGCAAGCATTGTGTTGTGATAAGCAATAAGGAGTGCTAAGAACAGCGGACTAATGAGGATTGAATTGGGTGTGGTCACAATGTTTGCTCTTGCTGAATTTTCGTCAATGAGCCATGACAGCATCGATAGTTGTCATGTTGTCAACCATCGGTTTGCCTGGCGTAGAAATGATTAAGTTGCCATGATATAGCTCGAATATTGCTGACTGTGGTGTAAGGGACTGATGTTCTGGTTCAAGGGCTCTGTGCGTGCGTGCGTGCATGTTTTGCGTGCGTGCTTTGTTTAAATAATTTGTTGAAGAAAATACTGGGAAAAAAAATAGTTTGACATGAAATAAAAATTGCTGGAATAAAACATTGTTATGAAAATAAACAAAAATGTTTTGGCTCCTCTTCCTACCACCCTATTTGTGTCCAGTTTGATAGTTAATGGCTGTTGTGTTTCAATTATTTCAAGGATAAGAATTCCTCTTATTGGTGTGTTTTGACATGTGTCACCACTGTAATGAAATATGAATATATATGAGGTGAATAATTACTTGATTTGATTTATCGCAGACCCGAGACCTTGGAGAGGTATGTTATGACCGCACGTAGAACTGCACTTAGCCTGCGCTGTTAGAATCTACTGTTCACCAACCTTGAAACATCAGAGATTTTTTGACATACCAAGTTGTGAAATTGAATTTGGTAGCTCCTATTTTAATGATTATCCACAAAAATATTGTGATACAACTTTAGATGTGTGTCATAAATCAGTTATTGATGTTAGAATATTTGTTGATAATTGAACTTCAGGAAAAAGTAACCTGATGCTCCTTCATTGAGACAATGATAAAGCAGTTATGGTTAAAGTTGTTGAATTTTATAAGGTTATCCTTTTTAGGAAATTGAAAATAAATCATGCCCCTGCATTAACTAATGTTGTTGCTTTGATCAAACTCAGAAAATGTTATTTTGTTTGATTTAGCAAAAAGGTGTTTTATTACGATTCTTTTTTTAAAACATAATACATTTGCACATATCAAGTGCTAAAATACATATAGAAAGTAGATTTCATTGCAAAGATGTGTCATATTTTGTATTATACAAGGTTTTTCTTTTAATAAAACAGTATACTGATTCTTCTCTGATGTTTCACTGTTACTAGGGTTTGTTATTAGCATGGTTTTGATATTTTGGTTGTAGATTTGTATATTTTTCATCATGCAAGTGTGACATCATTGTTGTCATATGAGAAACAAAGTCACCTTTACACCCACAACAAACATATGTGTGTCTGAAGCCTGGCAAGGATCTGTTTGATTTTTGTCCAATCTAAAAAAAAAGAAACAAAGTCTGTTCTTTTTATTCATCCCATGTTTTCATCCCTGTTTGAAGAACCAATCTTTGATGTATGTTTTTCACCCTTGTGTATGTGTCAGTCCATGTCACCATGATTGATATGCAATTAACATCGTCAATTTCATGCCAATTTCACCATTAACAGCATTAACATAATTCCATTGTCCATGTCACCACATTCTAGTGTGATTAGATATCATATTTTGAGATTTGTGATGGTTCTAGACCAGTGTTTGCTGCATGTGTAGAGAGATGTTGTGAGGGAGAGTTGTTGAATAAAATTTAGTGTTTGAATATATATATATATATATATATAGCTGATATCTCCATGCTGCACTTTGGTGATTCTGCACCTATTGAAAGATTTGATTGATGAGATTTTAGTTTTCAATATTATACTGTTCATGAAGGGGAGTAAAATTGACACAATTACTTGAAACACACACCCTTGTGTTAAATCATATTGTACACTGGGTTAAACGTATATATCAGTCTGTGCTGTCAACTACTACCAATCTGTCACTTGACATCTTTTTTGTAGACCTTAGTGTTAATATATGGACTTTATTAGCAAATCTTTCTAGATTGGAAGATATTTTACTGGTCTGTCTTGGGACAAGTGGCTTAAGTCACAGACTCCTCAGTCTTTCAGTATGAACAAATTACAAGCAAAAAAGAAATTGAATTGGGAAGGATGTTTCATTTACTTGAAGACTTTTTGCTTTCCTATGACCACTTTTTATGGCACATGAAAAACTTGCCACACTGTCAAATTTCATAACCATTCTATTCCAAAAAGTAAAGTCCCTGGATCTGAAGTCTTAAACCACATAGTCTGAAAATAAATAGGATAAAAACAAACACTTAGCTGCAAGTTGACAGGTTCAATGAGTGTAAGTTGTTAACATGGCAAAGGTCAGTTTTGAGAGTTTTAAAGAGAATCCTGGATGTAACTTCTCACATTTAAAGTTCTGTGGTATTTAGCTATCAGTGCTATCATCCCATTCTGCCAACTAATCACACAAACCAGACCTTGTTAGACTTAATTAATGAATCACTGATTATATATTTAGAAGACATAATGTCTAATTTAGCTGGGTTTTTTTTTGTTGAAATGGAATTTTTAAGTGGGTGTATATTGCCTCCTATGTGTTAGCAATATACACTTCCTATGTGTTAGTCATTCTCTAACTGCTGTGAGGATTTAACCCATAACCCACACAACAGTGTGGCTACAATAACAATTTGTTATTCAGTCATGAAGTAGAATGACTGGCCTGAAGTCTGTGTCAAGTAAAGTTTCATGAGGACTAGTTGAATCTCCTGGTGGTAGACTTCTTCTCAGAAAGAGTTACTTCAGTTTAAAACTACCATTTGGAACAGGACTTTCCATGGCATTGGTAAGGACGGTCATAGTCCTGAATCTGTATTTCCTGATGGCATCACAGATGTGTTGTTAAATATGCCCAATAATCTTGTTTTAGTTATGTTTTGACTTTCTAAAAAAGTTCTGATATCTTTTTGTAATGGAATTATCTCCAAGAAAAAACCTAGTGTATATTTGTAAGATTGTTGAATTTAAAAATAAATATTTATTCACAACATTTATTGTACATAATACAGAGATTAACTGATATGTTAAATGGCTTTGATAGATGTTTTTCAGTAGATTCATAACTGATAAGGTCATGATTTGAAAGCAACAACAGTGTGAGAAACACTTGATTGGATAGTTTATATTGTGGTCAAGTGAGTATTTGTTGTTGGCTCTTTTGGTTTGATATAAGATACGGTACCCTATCCCACTGGCCCAGGCCCTGTTTCCACAAGCCCTTTAGTCACAGCAATGTTCCATCACACTACAGTCACCCCCAGCCACCTTGAAGCTATTTAGGATTTTAACTGTAAGATATTTTAAGTTTAGTTAACCTTTCATTTACAGATACAAGCAGTTTCTTATTATTTTCATGTTTTTCTTACTAATCCTATTTTTACAGCTGCTTAATAACAACATACATACCAATTCAACCAGTGAAACTGCAAATTGAGGGAAAAGAAACAAAAACATTAAGAGTTATGTCCCTTCAAAATGGTGTCTGTTTCTGTGCCATTGATATGAATGGAAGTGCAAATCATGTGTTTCTCATTTTTGTCTTTGACCTAGTGTCTGGTATACAGGCAATAATCCCTGTGTGTTTGTGATGGGTTAGTAGGGGCAAAGTGAAAACAGGGAGTTAGTTGGCCATCTGGTTACCATGGTGATAATTGTCTCCACCATATGTTCACAACCTTCATGGTACTATAAACAATGCTATGCATCAAACTACATGAAAGTTTCTGCTTGCACTTGATGCAGGAAATCAACATGGAAATATCATATTTGATGCATGTTTTTAACAAGAAATCCTATGTATCTTGTTAAAAACATATGCATAGCTGTATTTTAAGTTCTTCATTCTGTGGTGATTTTTCTATTCACAGCGAAAAACAACCAGCCACAGTTCGGTAATTTGAAAATATATTTAACACATTTTGCAAAAGAACTAATACCACTTTTGTTTGTTACAACCACAGTTCTATTGCAGGGATACATCTATCTCCAACACTTCTCTCCAAATTGTTGAACTGATGCTGTCAAACTGTACTTCAAATGTTCAAATCTTAGTTCTCTCATATTATTCCGTGACAAATTTAATTCAAATTCTGTCATGTTAAGTTATTATATTTTAAGAAAATATAAAAATATTCATGTATTGTAATGAAAATACATTTTAAAACAAAAAATTTAATTGCATCTTTCTGAAATTGGAACGGATCATCTTGGGAGGCCCACTACAGGGCCAGTTCACCATAAAATGACATCTGTTGAAATGTTGAACAGTTTGTGTGTCAGTTAAAAGAAAAATTGGGGAGCAGAGCAAGGTCTTGTTGCTTTTGAAAAGTGATCTTTGACAGTACACCTGTTTAGTCGGATTTAAGTGGTCTGTGGAATTGATAGCATCAGTAATTATAATCTATGGCAAAGAGTATTTTTTTAAGACCTCATTTCCATTTTTGCGAGGACAGAGAAATGATTAGCGGGGATTTGCAAATAAGATGGACAGAGGCAGCTTGCAACCCTCAAAATATATAGTACACTAAATATCCAACATTGCCTGTGTTGTCACAGTTGGGATGTCCTGTGAGATAGCTGTATCCCCTCCATAGCTCAACTGCAACACTATAGCTTGTATGCAATGTACTACTGACTTATATATACATCAGCTATTGTGACTGACACTCATACATTTCTGTTTTGACAGCTAGTATATGCTTTTTTCATAACCAGAGCTTGAATTTGAAACTCATATAACTTTAACTTTTAACAACACTTTGATTGGCTTTATTTGTATATGTGGTAACTCACTGGTACAATTAGATGATGCCAGTTATCATTGAACACAAGGGGAATGGTGTAATTGTTAAAGTGGGGGGAATCTAGGGCTGATCAGTACCAATTGTTTGAATGAGGTAACTGAGTGGGTATTGAGTGATTGCAATGGCTTGCAAGTGTGGTGAGTACAGGTTGGCTTCCCATCCTGGAAGACCAGATATTATGACCTGGTTAATTTAGTAGATTGGTGGTCAAACAACTAGGCCTCTCTTCTTTTAATTTCTTGGTCACAGTTTAAAAAAGAAGGGTAGGATCATTTGTCAACACAAATCAAACTTGATACCTCAAAAACTAATTTCTTTCAGTTGATCTTTAAACAAATTGGTTGGATGCTGTAAAGAACACATGAAGTGCCTTTTAGGAATGACATAGTTACTTCCCTTCCTACACTGATCTGCTTTGCAGGTTGTTTTCATTACTGAAATTAATTAACAGACTGGAAGGAGGAGGCTGGAAGACAAAAGACTTTTCTTAAAATTTTGATTTTGGGTTGTAGATTTGTGAACCAAGTAATTAAAAAGAAGTCTCTGGTTTGTTTGTTCCTGATCCACTGAGTAGGGGGTCATGGGTGGCCCAGTCATATAAGGCGCCGCAATTTGCTGTGCAGAGTCGCGTCCCTTGTGCACGCCAGAAACCCTTGGTTGTGGGTTCGAATCCCAGTTCGCTCTGATTATGTTTCTAGGTTTGTCAGCACCATACCCGTGCTCGTGGGTGGTAAACATCTGAGACCTGCATCACTTCGGGCGTTCCTCCCACATTAAGCTGACACGCCATCATATAACTGGAATACTGCTAAAAGCGGTATTAAACCCAACTCACTCTTTCACTCACTCCACTGATTAAAATGATTATATAAGCTAATTGTGACTCATTTGACCAGCCTAAATTAGATGGTCTGTATTTTCATGTTGCAGAAATTGACTTTAATACTAAATCTTACATTGCTTTTTCTTCAAGATTGACTGTTTTGAATTTTCCAATGGTTTGTTACAAGTCAACAACACTTTGTACAAAGGTGAAAATTGGTTATCACTGAATTCTTACCTGCACCCCACTTACAGCATTCATCTCAACAGCCCCACGCCGTGTTCAAGTTCAAACTATCATGGTAGAATAGATATATACACAATGTATGTTTAGGTGTTAGGTATATCAGCATTTGATACCTCTAATTCATTCCTGAAACCTCATGCTAATGATATGATGCTGATGATATCATACTTCAAACTTACATCACAGATGAAGAAGAGCTTGGATAAGCATTGTAAAGGATCAACAGATCACATACTACACAAAAGAAGTTTGAGAACACCCAATTCTTTCATATTACCATAGTTTATTTGTCATGACAGGTTAACTATGTTGATATGAAAGAATCAGGTTTTCTTTAACTTTCGTGTTGTATGTGTTGAATTGATTGATCATATGTTAAACAATTTGCACCAGGAATGTGAAAGGATATGCCAGTAAAACTAAATGTTTCGGGAATAAAGGAAATATAATGACTACAAATTGAAATATTATGAAGTTTTCTGAAATCACATGTTATTGTTGTGATATCATGCACGTTCAAATCAGTTTATATCTATAATTGTTTTCTTTGTCATCTGCAATGTTCATGCGTTTTAGTGGTGATATTGAAAACAAACATTTGAAAAAAAAAGATGTCAAATCATTGATGATTTATCATAGTTGTCATGAAACATTGCAAATCACTGGGAAGGTAAATTAGATATGTAATACTAAATTTACCCACTGCCAGACTGTAGGAAATGCCATGTATTGAGCTGACCGATTCTGATGAACTATGTATGAACCAACTCAAGCATGTACATTGCATGACAGATCCTCAAAGGTCATCTTATATTGCAATTAAAGAATTAACATAAGATTAATATGAATTATCATTAGGTTAGATTTAGATTGAAATAGAATGCATCTTGATTCATATTTGATTTTACATATTGTTTTGCATCAGTGTTCCAACTTCTTTGTATAAAAAAGGCTATAGTGATGGATGTGTGTGAACATTAACTCTACATGTCGCGGAATCTATAATCCAGCTAACCAGATACAACATGTACACATGTAGACTTAGGTGCACTTATAACTTACTAAACCACAACATTAGAGCACTTAAACAGCGTGTGTTGTACCCTTGGGTTTGATAATTTAGATTTAGAAATCTAAATTTATAACTTAGGAATGCTAAAGAATGTATAACACATTAACCAATTTTAGGTTTTTATAACAACATTGTTGTTTGTAATGACATGATGGAGCTATTAGTAACAGATCTTTTTGATGACAGCATTTTGAAATTATGAATCCCCAGAAAATTAAAGTTTTGAGTGAACTCAATTGAACATAACAAATGGGACATTTAAAATAAATATGTGAGCATGCCAGATTGTGAAACATTTATTGTAATAATGCTGTTTTTTTGCTAACTTGAAGTAAATATTAAAGAATTTTGTCCCATGAGATATACATGTTTTGCTTTGCTATTGACGAGTGTTAATTGCTGGTAGGCTTGTGTAGATTTCACGTTGACATGTTTAGCGTCATAAATGTTTTACGCCTTCAGCAAAGAGACAGATCCTATTTCATCCAAGGAGAAAGGTCGGGGTTCGGCCGCAAATACAAGGGAAGTAACTCTCCATACAAAAGCTCATTTACCAGACTTTCGACTTTGGTTTGTGGAGAGTTTTCAAGCAGGACGTGTCATGTCATGTGATTTATGATTTTGCAAAAGACATCATATACATGTACCCATTTTTAGAAGTGTTTTTGTGTTTAGTTGGCTATTTTGGATGTGAATGTTTTAGTGGTTTCCACAATATAAATGTATATGTTTGGGTGTTGCCTACTCCATTTGGTATGTTTGTGTTTTTCCTCAGATACATGGTGTTATTATTTAGCTATATTTTTCATCAGACATGCTATTTTGATATTTTTGTCATGGGTTTCATATATATATATTTTCTTAGTCCATTTCAGGAATTCATTTGAAGAATTTATTTTTTATTATTTCATTATATTGCATTAAGAAGGTTGGTTGGTCATGGATATCTTGCACATTTTCATGATAAACACTATATTGAATGATTACTGCACAAGAATTGTATGGTATTTTATCATCAGTGATTCAGTATTGTTCAGCATTGCACATTTTTCATGCACAAGTTATTGCATACCTCATATCATTTCGATATATCAGTCTCAATGTTTTTGGTCCAGTTATTTTTGTTTCTTGATATACATATTTTCAGTCACATGCCTTTTTGTGATATTTGAATCAACATCAGCTTTGGCAGATTTTCTGCATGAAATCAATTCTATTATAAGAGAAATTCTCAATGTTGTTAATTAGAAAATGTCTAGGATAAAATGACATGTATTAAACAATGAGAACTACACAGCATATTGCTTTCAGCTTGTTGTGTATCCTGCCAGTTTTACGGAACAACTTGAGCATTTGTGTTGTAGGCGTCTCTGTGAGGAAGATGATGAACTGAGTGAGGTGGAGCCTGATGCCGTCCCGAGCGAGGTGCGAGACTGGCTGGCCTTGACCTTCACACGCTCTATGAGCAATATGAAGCGGAAAGGAGAGGAGAAACCCAAGTTCCGTAGTGTTGCACATGCAATAAGAGCAGGGATTATGGTGGACAGGTAATCTCATTCAAAATAAGAGGAAAATAATTATTATACCCCCGTTTACGAAGAAAATCGGGGGTATATAGCATTCCGTCTGTCCGTCCTTCCGTCCGAGCTTTTGTACGGCCCATAACTTTTTAACCATGTCCGTCCTTCCGTCCGTCCACCTTTCCGTCCGAGCTTTTGTACGGCCCATAACTTTTTAACCATGCACCCTAGCTTCACCAAACTTGCTACACACATTAACCACAATGAGTACTTGTGCCTTTTGCTATTCTGAACATTTTAATTTTTGCCATTTCCATGGAAACATTAAGAAACATCAAGAATGAATGTTGTGCTCATGATGGATTATCCCCCACTAGATTGAAATATATTTGCAAAAACATGTGTTCATTTCAAACATAATGCATCCTCATGGGGTTACAAAGGAAAGGGCAGTTCCTCTGACTTAAAGCAACAGGTATATTTAATTAATTAACAAACTATTTACTATTTGTTGTTGACCAGCGGGGATAACGGGGGTATGTGAGCTTTGCTCACTTCTTTTTTGTTTCTGTTTGTGATCACTACATGTATCTTAAATGTAAGTGAATAGTAAGTACTTAAGAATCTAAATCTTAGAAATCATTGGTAAAGAAGTTTCAGTTTCAACTGTGTTTAAAATGTTGCAAGCTATCAATACAGGTGAGGTGAAATGGGATTTAAGGTTGTGTCAAAGATTATAGCACTTTTAGATTATTTCAAGTTGAGATTACCGGACCAAACAGAATATTTCAAGACTCAGACTTCGTACTGGTGGCTAAAGTTGCACACTCCGACATCTCACACCTGTTTCAAGAAAGTTGTGTGCAGATGGAGATTAGCTTTTTACAATTTCTGGTTCTTTGGTAAAATAATTATTTTTCCATTGGGAATAGTTATAACAAAGTTCTTAGTTACAGCAACAGTTTTCATAAATGGTGATTTGTTTCAGGATATACCGGCGGTTATCTAGCTCTGTGGGAATACATGTGCCGCCCCATGTCTTAATACAATTAAAGGTAAGCTCTGAAGAATGAAGGTCAGTTTCATGGCGCTCATCATGTATTCAATGTACCTGGTAACTTCTGAAGTAACCGTGAAACGTCCCTTCGTGGTCAGTGGGAAAGAGAAAACAGATTTGATTAATTTCTGCAATAAGAATATGGTTGGCAAGTGATTAACTGACCCATGCTGGACCCATTTGTCAATCTGTTTCAGCATCTTGATGACTGGTCTTTCAATGTCTTTGCTGTGAATGATGCATCGGATGGCCATGCATTGAAGTTCGTAGGTTTCACACTGCTGCAAAAGTATGATCTTATCACAAAGTTCAAAATCAACACCCAAGTCTTGGAGAGTTTCCTGTTTGCCCTGGAGTCCGGCTACAGCAAGTACCGCAACCCCTACCACAACCTCCTCCACGGTGCCGACGTTGCGCAGACAGTACACTATGTTCTGTCTCAGAGCAAGCTTGCAGTATGTGTACTATTTGTAGGACAACTAGTCGTGGAAATAGAGACATGGTTCCAGATTTGCTTCGAAAACTAGTCAATCATATTCAAGTCCTGCCTTAGGTTTTCTTTGTTTTGACAGCATCCTATTTGAGTGTTCATATTGTACGATAGCATGTTTAAAAATTGGGGATCAAAGTAAATTTTGATGTTATTTGGTATGTTGTTATGAAAATAGAACCATGGTCATAAACTTGATATGAAATTTGGAGGATCCTTTGAAAACTCTTCTTTTTGGCATGTTCGGGATTATGTTGTGTCCATACCATACCATACCATACCATTCTTTCCTATATGTAGATGATATTGATTATAGTAATAATTTGGTTAATGGCCAAATATATTTTTTGATAAATACTCTGAATAGCTAATCCTATTTCTATTTCTCAAGTCATAAGATAATACATAAGATTTAATTATTTTTTGACTGTTTGTTTCAGCACTGGTTGACTGACTTAGAAATTTTTGCAACCATTGTGGCAGCATTGATACATGACTTTGAGCACACTGGAACGACTAACAACTTCCATATCAATACAGGGTGAGTGGATTATAAACACAGAGAAAGTGTTCTTGGTAGGAATTTTGTCCTTGTATATAGTATTTGATAATGTATTCCTGTTTATGTTAATTTGTATGGCGTGGGATAGTGTGGATGGAACCTTTTCTGCAGCAGTGAAGGGATTCATTTGATAATGAAACATTGGATGTATTCAGGATGAAATACAGTATGAAAATATAAATTAAATATTACACTTGTGACAATGCTTGTCGAAAGAGGCGACTAACAGGCTTGGGTGGTCAGACTCGCTGACTTGATTAATGCATGTCATTGTATCCCAATTGCGTTGATTGATGCTCATGACGTGAATCACTGGATTGTCTTGTACATACTCCATTATTTACAGACCGCTGTCATATAGCTGGAATATTGCTGAGTGTGGCATTTAACAACAAACAAACAAACAAGCAGGTTAATTCCTAGATTGTTTTTATCTTATGAAATATGTAATGTCATATATAATTTTTACTCATTTCTTTGCACTTGAAAAAGTACTCAAACTTCACCCACCAAATAACAGTTGCAAATATTGTTGTTTTGCCATGCTGTGAAACATACACTTCACCCCAATCAATATGGAGACAGTGCTCTGCCACAAGTAATATAAAATTGCACAAGCACAGTGGAAATAAATGTTACAGGAGTTAGCAAACTGTGAATGACCAGCATTTCCTTTGCACTCATTTTCAATTGTTACATGTATGGGATGCTGGAGTTGGCATCTGGTACGTCCCTGGTAGGGTCACACATTACCATGGAAAACGAGAGATAACTGATCTCTCTTCACAGCTTTTCGAGGGTTTTATAGTTTGTTTGTTTGTTTGTTTAACTAGAAGATTAGCTAGAATATGTGAAAATAAGTGTATGTTTTATTTCACTTGAGATTGTGTGGGTTTTAAGAAAAATAAATGCTAAAGTATGTTTTATGTTAACACTCGATAAAGCAACGCATATTGGTATTCACTTTTTTAGATTTTGATGAGGCCAGAGACATAATTAAATATATTAGACAGTGCTAAGAGGATCTCAGTTTGTGTCAGCTCGAAATAAGTTGCTTGTTATGTTTCAGGTCTGAAGTGGCATTACTGTACAATGACCGGGCTGTGCTAGAGAACCACCATATAAGTGCTGCCTTCCGCATTATGAAGGAAGAGGAATGTGGCATTGCCAGCAATCTTAGCAAGGAAGAATATCGGTAAACTAGTCCTCTTTGTATTGCCAGCAATCTTAGCAAGGAAGAATATCAGTAAAATAGTCCTCCTTGTATTACCAGCTATCTTAGCAAGGAAGAATATCAGTAAAATAGTCCTCCTTGTATTACCTGGAATCTTAGCAAGGAAGAATATCAGTAAAAAGTCCTCCTTGTATTACCAGCTATCTTAGCAAGGAAGAACATCGGCAAACTAGTATGCCAGCAATCTCGTGGTACACTTGATGACTTTACTTATAGCTCCAGGGATTTGATACACTTGATGACTTTACTTATAGCTCCAGGGATTTGATACACTTGATGACTTTACTTATAGCTCCAGGGATTTGATACACTTGATGACATTACTTATAGCTCTAGAGATTTGATACACTTGATGACTTTACTTATAGCTCCAGGGATTTGATACACTTGATGACTTTACTTATAGCTCCAGGGATTTGATACACTTGATGACTTTACTTATAGCTCCAGAGATTTGATACACTTGATGACTTTACTTATAGCTCACAAGATTTGATACACTTGATGACTTTACTTATAGCTCCAGTAATTTGATACACTTGATGACTTTACTTATAGCTCCAGAGATTTGATACACTTGATGACTTTACTTATGGCTCACGAGATTTAATACACTTGATGACTTTACTTATAGCTCCAGGGATTTGATACACTTGATGACTTAACTTATACAAGTTATAGCTCTAGAGATTCGATACACTTGATTACTTTATTTATAGCTCCAGAGATTGATACACTTGCTGACTTTACTGCCCAGTCGTCAAATGTGCTTGCGATTTGCTGTGCAGAGTTGCATCCCTTGGGCACACCAGAAACCTTTAATTGTGGGTTCGAATCCTGGTTCGCCCAGATTATGTTTTTAGGTTTGTCAGCACCATACCCGTGCTCGTGGGTTTCACCGAAATGGTAAACGTTTGAGACCTGCATAACTTCACGCTTTCCATCCACAATAAGCTGACACACCGCGATATAACTGGAATATTGTTAAAATCGGTGTTAAAACCAACTCACTCACTTACTCACTTGATGACTATTGATAGCTCTAGAGATTGTTACATGTGTTGACTTGATTGTTTCAGGGAGTTCCGGACACTTGTGATAGACATGGTGTTGGCAACAGATATGTCCTTCCACTTTCAGCAGATAAAAAATATGAAAAATCTTCTTTCTGTGCCAGAAAAGTAAGACGAGCTGAGAATAGTATTATTTTCATTGTAAAGTGAAAAAAAGCTTTTGGTATGTGTTTATGTATGTAATTTTCAGAATAGAAATAGTCTTAATGTCCTCACTAGTTTTATCAATGATGAAATAATACATCTATTACGTAACTGATATCAGAATTATTTCTGTTTCAGTTTTGAAGTAGGATAGGTTTCAGAATATTTTGGTATTACCTAGAGAGGTGGGGGGAAATATTTTGAACTTCAGAAGACAGGAAGTGTTTTTTTAAAAACTTCAGTATTGATAACTCAGTAGCAGGTTGTTTTCAGACTATTTCAGAGTAGTTTTCCCATTCTTTTGGTTTCAATACTGACATAGTCAAGCAGGTTTCATAATTTCACAATATTGTACATTTCAGTATTGACAAGTCAAAAGCAGTGTCATTAGTGTTACACTGTGCAGACATCAGCCACCCTTCCAAAGACTGGGATCTCCACAAGAGGTGGACTGATCTCCTCCTAGAAGAGTTCTTTAGACAGGTCAGTGGAGAGCACCATATCATATGGGCAAGCTACTGGTCACTCCAGATTCACATCTGTATTCAGTACTTCCAAAATTCATGATACATTGGCTATTATCTTACGCTACACATGCGTGTCAGATTCTATTTGGTGGAGACCCATTTTGTTATTTTAATGTACCCCGCTAACTCACCATTATTAACAGCAACCACGGCCAGATTACCGCTATTGACACCTTGATATGATCTTTATTTGAACGAGAATGGATGCATATATAATAATGCCATACTTTGACTCATTAAGTCATATTTGTTGTAGTTTGACGATTCTATGTCAACATGTAGATCTTGTGATCATGTGCTTGGGAGCCTCGAATTGTTCCATGTGAAAAAAAAATAACAGGCCATAGCGATCAGCTGCACCAAAGTGCTACGCTTAGGGTTATTATTATTTTAAATATATTTAGTAAGGGTTATTATTATTTTAAATATATTTAGTAAAAGCTGCAACTAAAATAACATGATATTGGAATATATTATTCCTGATAAAAAATAGTTTCAGATACAATTTTTCCCAATCCTTGCATCAAAATCCTATAAAGTTATATCATTGAGTAAGTTTTAACCGAATCACCAGTAGATTCTAAGAAAACGTGTGTACAGCTGATTACTGTTTCCGGCCTGGTTTACGAGAAAATACACAAGGTAATGCCTGGATGTAAAACAATGCCCAGCAGAACAAAAAATACAAGTTAAATCAACATTTCTGGGGAATTTTTTATCTCAAATTTCAAATTTGTACTGACAAAGTTTCTTATCACCCGTTCGTTTACAGGAATTCGCTGAAGGGGTGTTCTACGAATAATATCACAATTGTTTTTCCCAAAATACTGAATCTGCTAGAGAGGGGTGTGCATTATACTTGGATGCATACTATATGCAATAAAGTATGGTACATGACTTATGTTCCCCTCTCTAGTTGCTGAACTGTTGGCATTACATTTGTACCATTCTAACCACAATTTTGTTTCATGAATGATGTGAGACATCTGTATATTTACGATATTTTCCAAATGTAATAGATCTAAGGGGAATAACTCTTATGTTTGTTTTCTGTCGGCTGCTTTTTTACGATGAATGTGAAAAATGAACGGAGTGCCTATTCGGGGTATTCGTGCTGATTCAGACCAAAGTATGCATGCATAAGACATACCTACAATGTAATTAGGTGTGTGGTAAGATAAATTTGATGTCCCCTAGACCCCCATGAGAACAGTGGACAACTTCTAGTGACAGAAGCTTAGTTCCTGCATGTTTATGTCCTGTCCATATTATCATGAACCACTTTCATTCATTTTTTGCATATATTGAAATCCTTGTCCTTATAAGGCACAGTATGTTGGTCAATGAAATGCACATCACGTCCATGTTGTATATTTCAGGGTGACCGTGAACAAGAGCTGGGTTTGCCCTTCTCACCTCTCTGTGATAGGAAGAACACCCTAGTGGCTGAGTCACAAATTGGTAATGTGGATGTTCAGGGAGAGGTTGCGATGTGCACAATCTTCACTAGAGGAGTCTGGGATACAACTGGTCCCCAGCTACCTTATAGGCTATGCTTGTCATACAAGGCGACATAATGGATGCGCTGGTCAGATTCAGTGACTTACTTTACTAGGTGATATCAATCACAGGTTGTCTGGCCCAGACTTGATTATTTTCAGGCCACCATCTGAGTACTGCTGAGTGTGTCATTAAACAACCAACAAACAAATGTTGACTTGAGCTATGTTATAAACTCAACGTTATCTCAGGGGTCATAATACCTGGGTTTGCACAGGCATGAAATATATCCCTTGAAAAGGCCTAACTTTTCCTTTCCTGACCCCTCCCATCTGCAGTAAATTACCGAAAAATGAATATATCTTTTTATTGTTCGAAAAAATGTTTTGAAAACTGTTCATTGTAGGAAAAGCGTTTGGATACAAACTATTTATATATCAATAACCTTTGGGTTATCTACTGTTTAATATTGGGCAGTTTCTGTTGAGTATGCCCGAATCCAAAACAAACTATAAATGGAAAAATATATAAAATTGAATTTGCATGGCCTTTGATTTTGAAATACATTTTAAATGAACTTCAATCTGACAAGGTTGTAACTCGATCATTCATGAGCTCCTCAGCTTTTACCCAAACATTCACCCTATGAGAAGAGCCTTTAAACAAGCTGATTCAAAGAAGAAAGGCCTAAAATATCTCGATTCTGTGATTTTTTATGAAGCCATGTTTTTTGGCACAGGCTTCATTGACTTCATAGTCGACCCCAGCTTCCAGGTGATGGGGGATATGTTGGATAAAATACTCAGCCCACTTCACAAGCAAGAGCAATCCGCACGCAACATTGATGAGGCCATCTCAGAGGAAGTGTTTGAAGACAAAGTCAACCGATCATCGGGCGGATCCAGCTTGAGTAGTCGTCCGAGTACGCCCAAAACACCTCTCTCACCGGGTACCCTAGCCTAGACATAGCTGGACCAGATATTTCATTGTTCCATGTGCAGACTTTTGTAAAAATTAAGCGACAAAAAGCTTTCCATAACCAATAGAAATCTCTGCATAAAGTAGAGTCAATTGTACTATTCCGACTATATCATGAGCATGTTTTTATAAATCACTATCAAAAAGTAATGATACCAGGTGTTCACGAAAAGGTGAGAATATCCTGCCCCATCACAAACTCATGTAAAGGCAAGTCAATTGTCATGAAAAAAACCACAAGAAATTATGGTACATTCATCATTATTAATCACAGGAAATAAGAGTCTTTTTGTTTTCCATAATGTAATTAAATGTTGATATATTATTGATGTCAGTTGAATTTATATATAATTCAGTGAAAGTGTGAGCATCAAATTATGAATTTATCCTAGCTTTAATATCAGTATAATGTATTTCTTATATTTTGGCAAGACTTTCTCACAGATAAGAGGCATTGGATAGTTATTTATGCCTTTTGGAAAGACAATTATTTAAAATTTGATTTTAGTCATATAAATATATTTTTTTGACTCACAAAAAACACCTTGAGTGAAAACAAATTGTTTCTGACTTTTTCTGAAATTATAAAAGTGTTAGAGTAAAATTTATGTTCTTTCATAAGAAAAAGGTAGCCACCTGCAGAAGTTTTCTAACATTAGTTCCAGAGAATTAGTTATGTATTTTGTATTTCAAGTATATGTGTGACATAGGTATCTCCTACAGGATTTATATAATGGATCAAAAATACATGATCCATGAAAATACATGAGGGATCCTGGTTGAATATATATTTGGCACAAGACTGGAATTAGTACCTTTGAACAATTGCAGGGAACATATTTATTGGCATCTTTTTGCAGTCTGTGACTCTAGTTACTATGGAAACTACTTAAATTTATTTTGGTCTAAGATCAGCGATGTAAAGTCTTTTGTCATATGAAAATCTACTGAAAATAATTTTTCAAATGATATATTCCGACCTGGCTCAGTAGATTTTAGCACAGACTGAACTTTCTTTCTTTGAGAACAGACTCAAGAAGAATTAGTTCACAGCAACCTGCGATGTTGGGAGAGGCAATTAGATACATTGAGTGGTGACACTCAGTGACTTGGTTGATTGCGTGTCATCGTACCCTGATGGTGTATATCATAGCTCATAATATCAATCACTTGACTGTCTGATCCAAACTTGATTATGTACAGTCCATTACTGGAATATCACTGAGTGCAGCATTAAACAATAAACAAAACAAACCTTTGACCACACTAATTTATATAACAGAGGAGATACCTATGTGCTCATGTATGTCTGTATTTTTGTATATTTAGTTCATATTTCAGACAGAACATCTTAAATGCATCTGGTGTAGGGTAAGGATTCTTGTTAGGACATGTTACTTGCAGATATCTGGTCCTGCTAGTGTACTAACAACAAACTTATAATGAACTGTATCTAGAACGAAACTCAGATATTGAAATTTAAACCAATGTCAACACCTTACCAATATTTAATACATGCAATACCTTTCCTATTTTGTTTTACCCAACACAAATTGTGTTTGTCTTTCTCCTATTTACAACAATCACGACATATTCCTGTTTCTCAACACAATGTCATCCAAATGTCTTCATCCCCCCAAACTGCTATCTATTCCCCCATTTCTGGCTCACTATCAAGTAGAAATCTCGAAGATTCTTATCTTTTTCTGAAATCCTTTCCCTGGTCTATCTTCTCAACTTGCTGGCCTGTCTACCCAGACTAAAAAGCTTGGCTTGAGTGATTACCAACTCTTGGTTCTATGCTCTCTGTTCATTGTAAGTTGTGTGTAGGTAGAGAGTAGCTACTAACCAGATTTGAAGTGTGTGCATGCAGAGATGGCTTTTAGCTCACCTGGCATAGTCTCGTGATCTCCTACCACTGTTTGTTGTCTGGTATTGTCATCAAATTCCATCCTATACAATTCAAATACTGAATACTATTTTTGCTAGTTGTAAGAGACAGGTAAATTGGGGATTCTAGGTTAGAATAGGTCACTAGGAATCTCTGGTGGCTGTATTGAGGTGACTTAATGGATTGAGTGGTCAGGCTCTGCGGACTTTGTTTATGTCAATGTACCCCAGAGACGTGCATCATGAATCATTATATCAATCACTGGACTGTCTGGTACAGACTCTCTTGTCTACAGGTCACCATCATAGAGCTTGAATATTGCTAATTAAATGACATTAAATAACAAACACATGGAATATCATTTGTGTATCAATGAATGAAGAAATAGTTTTATATTATATATATGTTGTGCATGCAATTATTAAACTTCCCGATTTACATTTACACAATATTCAGACTACTTTTTGATAAGCAAAGAACATAATCAAATATATATTGTTTCTATCCAATTATCAAAAGAGGTCTGATGTATTTATATAAAGAAACCTAATTAATTTACTTGAAACCCTGGTTTTTGAAAATACTTAAATTTCACTTAGAGGTTTCAAATATCAAAAAATGATTAAAACAGGTGATGTAACAGACACTTTACTTCAAATAGATTTCCACATAGCTTTCCATGTTAACCCATTGTTAATCTATACATGAAAAAGAGTTAGTGTGCCAGTGTGAAACAGTACTGCCCATGAACATGTGAAAGTATTGTGTTTTATATTTGAATTATGTAGGTGAGCTCCAGTTCACAAAGCACAGTTATGTTGTGTTGCTTCTGGTTCATGTCCATTTATCAGTATGATTTATCCACCAAGATGCATGTTTTATAATGGTATTTTGATAATAATGGTCAACCTTTGATTCCTTTGTCAGTGTCAGCTCTGCAAACATATCAATTTTAGTTGAATTTAAAATTCAGTTCATTTCTATTTTGCATGTACTTTTATGGCTACCCTTTCTATTATATACACTCAAGACTGACTTATAGCCTCACCCGCTCTACACTTCTTCCTTACAGATGACACCATCAAAGTCATATGGCATGGTTTCTGTGTAGTTCAAGGACTCGCATCAATTGCATTGTCCTTAAGTTAGATTTTGTAATTTTGTACTTAATCTTCAAACAGAAAGAAGATGTCTTGTATCGAATGACTAAAAAGTTTAACTGACATATCACAAGGCATTTTCAGTGAATGGTAAGATACAACATGTGAGATTTGTTCAGATGGCATGCTTCAACATTTTGATGTCAGGTTTCTAACCTGTTCCACAGAGCGACCACAGCACCACACCAGTCCTAAGTCTATGTTCAATATGGGAGTTTCGATCACCTCAGCGCTGATATCACTTTGTGGATCAGGGCCCTGAACTGTAGAGGATATTTGGGGATAAAGCATTTACCCAGGAATCAAGTTTTCAAAGGATTTGATTTAGTCCACTAAATTACACATTAGATATAGTCTCAGTTAAGTGCTTTGACTATGGTGCAGTGGTCTGAACTTGTTTAGACTCACACTTGACGATGAGTGTAATCATTTCAATATCTGTTGTCAGGAGGACGATACGAGTTAAAGCGGCCATGGGTTGAGTGTCTGTCTCACAACAAAGTCAACTGGAAGGAGAAGGCGTTAAAAGGTTGTGATAGGATGTTGCTGGGTTAATGTTGTATAACTGGTGAAATATTTTAGTTTTTAGCATAATATGATAGAAAATTTACTTATCTTAATGATAAGTGATGTCATTTGAAATTAAACCCACATAGTGAAAACAATTATCTCAATATTTCATAGGTTCTGTGTTTCTGCTGCTAAACAGTTAAATATTGAATACTTTCTTTCAAATTATCAGCAAAAAGATCTTCTGTATAATAAAACAGCATTCATTGTTATGAAGTATTTCAATTTTGAATACCCTTTGCAATTGTTTTCAAGATGCTGAGGAGCGTCATCTAGCAGCAGCACGAGCAATTGCAAATGACTCAGTCAACAGATCCAATACCGAAGATTCAGAGTTGGAGAAAAAACAGGCCAAAGAAACTGAGCCTGAAAATGAGACAAAAGACTCGACAACAGAGTCTGATAAGCAATCGAGTGCCATGAACTCAGACAGTATCAGTATTAGGCCACTTGTGAAAGGTAAGAACTAATGGACACAATGTTGTGCGCGTGCGTGGAGTGGCATTAGTCAGTGACTCTGTGTGACTCTTGGCCACGTGAACTCCTCAACTGTACATGCGTACCTACTTGTAGGGCAGTGTGCATACAAACTGTGCCGTGAATCACCCTCCTCCCTTGGCTCCTAGTGCATCTTTGTTTCTCTCTCGCTCTCCTCGAGGTCAGTCCGTACGTGATGGAATGTTTCATCTGTGATCAGTGTAAAACTTCATTTTGTAATGAACAAAATCATATCCATATTTCTGTGCCGTCTTGTGAACTCTGACCTTGACCTCTTGACCTAACCCTGCAACCTCTGACCTTGAGCTCATCTCAGGACTTCTGGAAATATTTTAGAGCTTGCTTGCTTTGTTTGTTGAACAAAACATTTCGCCCTGTCATCTCTCTTCCCTCTTCTGTGGAGTAATCTCGGTGCGTACGTCATCTGTTTGCGAATTACCTGCCTGCGTGCGTGCTTGCGTACGTACATGTGTGACATGAACTCGTCTGAGGACTGCACCACAGATCACTTCTACATAACAACTGTTTGTACGAACATGATGTGTACATAGATCTTACTTTCTGCCCACTGTTGGCCAAGGAAGGCTTCATCTTGAGGTATCAGAAAGGATGCATGTGATCTAGAGATAGGGAAAGCAAGGGTTTTACTATGCACTCCAAAAGCCCTAACTGTTTTTTTTTGCTCTTTTATCAGTGCTTGTCCACATACTAAACTTGCCAAATTGTCAACCAGTGTGACCATCAAGGTTACAACGTTATTTATGCATTATCATTTATTAATCAGATATTTTAAATATGTAAAAATGTGATGTTTGCCATTATTATTTATTGTTTCATTATGATAATAGGATTGTTAAGTAGTAGTGCTGATATCCACCGTAGGTAGTTGTTAGGTGAATAGTCTATGACTAGGTGGAATTAATATTTACCCCTGATACCAAACATAATGTTTGATCTGATTTATCATATGTATATAATATATAATCTGTTGAAATCTTAAATGTTTACAAAGAATTTAATTTAATTAAAAGTATTGTGAAAACAACATTCCTACCAAAGCTCAAAGAGATTAAATGATAGAATGTTTAGACAAATAATATATTCTGCTCAATATTATGAAAACAATAATTTCTTTGTACAGCTGAAAAATGTTTTTTTTTATATAATTGTTTTTACTATTTTCAGTTAAATCTCCTTTGTACTAGTATAAAGTTCCTAAATAGGTTGTGTTATATACTCACTGCCAACAGAAATTAAAAGGGGAAAATATAGGCACATAAAGTTATGTTATTTAATAGTTAATAATCCAAGTTCACCTGTTCTCTAACATGTTGTTATGTTTTTTACTAGTTAGTCTTCTACTTTATTAACCAGTTAGTTATTTACAGATTGTTATGATAATGTGGTTGATTATTGTGATATCATAAGTTTATCATCATGCATTTTAGGTGTAAAGGTATATAAATTTAGGTATTCTCAGACATGATATGATATAAACATTCTCACCAGCAACATCTCTTAATGCACAATTTGAATTTTCGATGCTGAAGCAAATCATTATGTTTCAATTTCATTATTTTGATGTTGACATGCACTTTTGATGAGAAAAAAGGCATTTATTTAAACTGCTATTGAAACATATTCATGTAAAATAACTTCCAGTCAGAATGTTCTTAAAATGCCACAATTAATGGGAGAGAGAAATATACATCAAGTGCCAAACAGCATCCTGCTAGAACTTGTTTGATTGATGGCAAACGACAACCAGAGCAATGAACACGTCAATTTCGACATCTGATTTCGGTAGTCAGAAAAATTAAGAAAGAAAAGCAAAATAATTTCTTAATAAAAATATAATTTGTATATAAGTCTGATTTAGTTCAACCAATGTTTATCACTTACATATAATCAGAAAGAAATATGCAGCATGTTTTTAAAGTTATTAAAGGGCAAATGAACAAGAATGGAGCTCACAAATGATATTAACTAGTTTATGATGTTATTACACTATTATTGATCCAATTACATGTAACAAGTCTTGATGAAAGATGCAAGACTTTTCGTCAAGGTTGCATGTTTCTACAACTGACGATGTTGAAATACACATGTTCCCATTTCTATTTATTTAAGGGAAAGAGTGTATTTGACTGTACATACATTTTTAACTATTTTTTTCTTTAATCATATGTGATATATCTCCATGTGTCTCTGACTTCACAGACCTGTAGTTGTAACATAGTTTTCTCTATCATCAAATTTTATAGAATGTCACTATCATAGACGAGTGAACTGATCAGTCCACTGATCTGTTCTCTTATAGTGTAAGGGAATAAGGGAATAACTCTTGAGTGTGTGACAGGAAATATATGTGTCAGGATCATTAGGCCTCAATATATGCCAGAAATTGATTCAAAATTTACTGCAAAGAATATTATTTTCTTACCAATTAATTGTAATTGTTATGTTGAAAAATGTTTTCACTTTGTGTCCTACGTTCATTATTATTTGTCAAGGGACAGTTTCATGATACCATACTGTAAAGTTTGGGGGATTTTTTTCTTAGATATAGCCATCAAATATATATTTGCTTACAGTATGCAAAACATTGCTATACGTGAATGTGCAATTTATTTTCCGGTTGACATTCTTAAAATATGTATATGAATTAACCTAGCACACCTTTTTTCCAATGCACACTTTCTGAACTAACACAATTGTTTTCACACAACTAATAGTTCTACAAATTTCTTAGTCATTATTTTATTTTAGATTTATAAATTCTATTATTTTCAAATGTATATATATATACCAGCATGTAAACTTAAATTTATTTATTTCCAGAAAAGAAAACAATTGTTTTAAAATTTGAGTCATTATTTCCTTTTTTCAGTCCACAAGTCGGTTATTCGAAAATCTCAGAACATCCGAAAATGAGGAGTTTTGGTATTTCACCAACAGAAAACAGCATTGAGAAAATACTCACAAAATATATACCTCATGGGGGGGATAATCATACTTGATATAAAGACTTAATAGGGGAGAGAACTTTGACATTGACGTTTGATACAGCTGCCCTCAGTATTGCAGATATATTTGCACACACATCAGATTTTATTTATTTCATCTTTTGTTACTTTGTAGTCATGGACTTAGATTAGATTGAATTGAATTTAAAGTTGGATTTTCATTTAGAAATAGACTTGACAGTTTTTGACGTACTGAAAATTCATCATAGAGTATAATAAGCAATCATATTATTTAAGTTGTGTGTTAATAATAAAGTAAACAAAATTGTTTTGATTGAATAATATTTTAGAAAATTTCTGTCACAAACTCAAGAGAGTAGGGAATTTAACAGTGATTGTCTACCAGATATGTTATTGTGCCCTTTCTGTAGAATATGGCATTATCTTGTATAAATCTTCACAAGACAATTATTTGTGTAAAGCTTCAAGAATCTGGAGGTGTTAATGCATAGAGCATTGACCCTGTTCATTTCCAGTGTCACATATCAATAGTTACTGTTGAGAAAATTCATACTTTTGTATAATTAATTTCAGACATTGTTTTCAAAGTGTAAAAAGTTCCTAATTGTTACAGTGTTGATTGTTAAAGTGTTATTGATTGTTGTGTACAGTTGTTCATAGCGAAATGTACGTCTACAGAAGGGGCACTGAAGGTAGTGATAAGGCTGTGTGAATGCATTTGATTTCTTCCAGGCCTGTTATAGGCAAGACGTACATGTATACAGTAGTATACAGTGGTAAAGAAACATTATGCAAGTTTTGATCCATATGACTAGAGGAATCCTGTTGGAAATATACATGATTTATTTCATATGTACCTGTCAAGGATTAATGGACATCTGTGATGAATGTAAATGAAACCTGTAACCATTTTGTTGAATCTCTTGTTAAATAATATTATTGATCCATTATCATTTGATTAAAGAGTATGCACAATGTGTTGTTTGTGTTTGTTGATGGCAGAGAAATTGACAACACCCAGGACAAGAAGTTTCTTTTAGAGGCATTGAATAGACACACAGTAAGAAATACAAATATGCTTATATTATTTTCCATATTACTTAAGAACATCCTTTAATTTTATATAACATGTCAGTACCTGTTATGGATTCTGTCAAACTACCTCTGTGATCAATTTTATGCATTATAGAAGTACATATGAGAAATTGAATTCCCTTTCTCTCCTCAAATACAAGTACGTGTACTAGGGTAGCAATAAATAAATTGTAAGCACCATTTCTATAAATTTCATATTTCTTAAAGCTATAATATTTATGATTACTTATATTTATAACGTGTGAAAATAACCTTTAAAAAGTAACCAAAGAATCTGTAATAATCCTTAATATTTGCTATGTGAAGGTGAAGTTATGTTACAAATTACATGTCAAACTTCATCTTCTATTGCCTGCAAGAAATTAAATGACTGACAATAAAACATCTGATCATTAACTAATGAACTATTGTGAAACTGTATGATTTGAAAAAAATACAGTAACACATACCTGATGTAAAATACTCTTTTTGTACCTGATAATCTCCAGATTACGAAGTATGTAGAACGGTGGCATTACGTGTATTTAATGAAAATCCATCATTTTTAACATATTCAAACCCAACCAAAGATTATTGGTAAAATTCTACACGAGGGTTAATGTTATAACACATTGACAGACAGATTGATGTGACCGGGCTTTAAAAAGAAACAATATTAATGTGGATCCTAACTTCTGCTAACACTTTACACCAATATATACTCTTTAAAAAAGTAGGAGATACACGGATATAACTAGAAATGTCCAAAATTGTAAGACATGTTAGTTTCAAGTAATCATTGTATGATAATAATGAGCGAACTGGGAACATATTGCAACCAGTAGTAAAGTATAACAGTAGATGTTATGACCGCCAACGATCTTGAAGGACCATAGTGGGGAGATGGGACGTTTCAAAGTTGACGGTGTTCGATCAGTAGTGCGTAGTACCGCCACGATGTGTGAAACATTCATTCACTCGAGGAGGCTTGCTGTATGAGCCTCCAAATGGCGATTTGAGGGAGTCTGTCCCACTCCTCTTGCAGCGCCAACGTGGTGGCGGTCTATGACGTTGACGCAAACGCCTCCCTGTCATGTCCCAGACGTGTTCAATGGGGGAACATCTGTGCTCATCGCTGGCCATGGCATTCTATGGATATTGTGCTGTTGGAGTTGAGCATTGACGATTCGTGCGCGGTGAGCCCGGGCGTTGTCGTCCTGAAAGACCGACCCACGCGCCTTGCGAATGGCACAAGAAAGGATGTCAGTATGTTGTCAATATAGTACCCTTCCTTGATCCTTCCTTGCACAATATGGAGTGGGGTTCGGTCAGGTCATGGTGACGTCACCCCCACAACATAACCGATCCACTGCCAAATCTGTCATGAGGTCTCAGGTTTACATTTCGACGTCGCCAGACAGGACCACGCCTATCAAGGAAGTGCAAAGTGAATTGGAACTCATCTGAAAACATGCGCGTGACCATGCATCGACGAATACCCCAGTTTCGACGTTTGTACAACATTGACGTCTGTTGGCAGTGTGACGATTTGTAAGGGGCCGCACAACACGCGGCCGTCGAGCATGGAGATGATCTGCATGTAGGCGATTTCTAAGTGTCTGACCCAAACTCGTACACCTGAAGCCCGATGAAAGTTTGTAGCAATTTGATTCGTCTTTCGATTTCCATCAGCCGATCCTGTACTCTTGTCGTTGACCTTGGCCGCCCTGGACGGGGTCGAACTTCAACATTTGGGTTTGATGGTCTGCTGATCAGTCTATGAAACATTGAACGTATTTGCCAAAGTACTATGACTTCTGCCAATATCCAGCATGCCAAGAGTCCGTCGACGCACCGCGTGTTGCAAACGCCGCATCGCTAGTTTATCCAAAAACAATGAATTAAATCAAGTAAATCACAACTTCTGACGAGCAGAATCAGTAAGATTGACAGAATTAATGGTTTAATCGACCGTCTTTTGAAAGTGTCACAATAAGAAATGACACCCTAGGCACGTGTGTGGCGTTACTGCGTGAGGCGCGTGCAAACTATTGGATGTGTTTTGGTGTTAAGGTTTACAGACAAACGTTCTTGCATGTTATGTTTGTCGTGAACACTTATCTTTGTTCTTATACTTGGTATTAACATTTATATTACCTGATCCCCTATTTTTTTTAAGAGTATATATTACACAAATTCTGAAAAACAATTGCAGGTATGGTTGACAGTTGTTTATTTAACTTTCTGTCATTGATGTGACGACTATAGACATACACTACACATGGAAGATACCCTCAAGTGTATATCAAGGACTCATGACTAAGACCCCAGGGCCATGTTCTACACTGTGATATTAGCGCTAGATGATCAGATACCTAAACATAGACCTTCAAATATATATAAGATGACTTTGCATAACAGGAACCAACTTTTCTTTCTCAATAAGTTTTACGTGTCTTTCTAATTTTTCCAATAATGATAATAATGTGGGTTATACGGTTTTACGCATGGATCAGTCTTTTATCTGTGTAGACAAGCCTGAAAGCTTGAGGTGGTTATGATATCTATTGGTGTCAGAAGGGAAGGTCTGATAAGGATTTGCGCCATTACTTATGAAAATAACACGGACAATGCTAGTCACAACCACAGAAAAGGGATAACACTTAATAGAACTGTAAAAGTACTGTTTAAGTGGTGTTAAGTCAACTTATTCTGGTTGCTTTACCAGAACCACGACCTTCTGGAATCTAGTACCCATTAAAATGTGAAATGAACCTCTCAGGAGTCACATTCACAAAGCGATCTTAGCCATACGCCTTTCGTAAGTCTCTGTTAAAGTATGGGTGTTACGATCGTTGTAGCGCTAAGTCACTTTGTGCAAGTGGACCCTAGGTAACTCCATGTAGTTTTCCAGCTACCTGGCCCTTGTCTCCTGTAACGAAACATCATCAAACATTACTTTCATCAACGTCAGCAGTATGCCGATACTTTTAATATCACTTCAACAAGCCTTAGATTTAAACTGAATTATTTACAATATTAAGGTAGACCCCTTCACTTGAAGGATGCACATATGGAAGAGGTGGTTGAATGAACCCAAAGTTATAAACCATCACCAGATAGGGCTTTATAAGCAATTTATAATAAACTGCTTTCTTAATTAAGCGGGAATCATTTGTCATTAATATTACAACACACACACACACACACACACACACACACACACGATGATGATGAACCGTCAAGGTACCACCATAAACAAGATATTGCTATAGCAACTCTACGAAAATAATGTCATGAAAGGTTGATGTAAAGGTAAGTAAATATATCTCTCACTCTCTTCAAGCATGTCCTCTCTGACTATTGCCCTAAGATTGTCGCATGTTCTGTCCTACTCATATATGTCAGTTTATTCTTCCCCGCAACAGTATATGAAAATGTTTGTCTGTGTGTGATATATGCATTGAATCAAAGTGTAATTGCAAAACCACGTTTCCATGTATTTGTTGGAACCTTTGACTATCAATCATTTGTTGTGTTTCCACGAGATAAATTGTGTATGTTATTTTCACGTCTTCCAAAGGCATCTGAAAGATAACCTTCACAGATGTAATCACACAATATCTTAGCATGGTATGCATCTTCCTAACGAATAATCCGTAATATGAATGCGGGACCCCGTGAGGATTCCAAGTTGGGATAGATCCCCCGAGTAAGAACAAGTATACCCAACAGGTGAATCGTTACTCACTTTATCAATCACTGGTTTGTCAACCAATGCTGGTCTCAAGAGTCGACTAAATACATCGGGTGGTCAGTCACGGTCATTTGGTTGTGTGGCATCGTGCCCGACAGCTTGGATCGTTGCTCACAATATCAATCACTTGCTGGTCGTAAGAGGCGACTTAGTGGATCGGGTGGTCAGGTCCGGTGACTTGGTTGATAGCGTGCCAACGTACCCCGACAGCGTGGATGGATGCTCATGATATGATCACTAGAGTATCTGGTCCAGACTTGTGTTTTATAGGTCGCCGTCATGTAACTGGAATATTGCTGAGTGTAATGTCATGTGTATTGGAACTTCGATTCCTTGAGGCACTGGAATCACGAAATATCACGATGATTAACTGACAAAGATAAGTCCGTGTGTGCTGATACATTTAAAGTGAAAACAAGCCATTCCGTCGATTAGGAATATTACCTATTGTAATGAAAGAAATGGCAAAGTGCACTTTTCAAGAAATGTCCATTTTCTTCGCGATAAACATCACCATTGAGTTTTATTCACGTGGTCACAATCCGTTTAAGGGTCGGCAGTCAGGTGACTGTGAGCGACTATATTCAGATCAGATCACGTGATCAAAACTCAATGATGTTTATCGCTGAGAAAATGGCGCACATCGCATTTTTTTTCATTACAGTATGTAATATTCCTTATCGGCGGAATGGCTTGTTTTCCACTTTGTAAGTATTAGTAAACATTCAGCTATGTTTGTAAATTAATCATCGCGATATTTTATGGTTCTGTTTCATGTGTCGAGGTCTATTAAGCACACCATGTGCTAAGTCGCATATATTTGCGATGAACTTAACATACAAACGGATAGCAAAGTGCAACATTTCTATTTGTAAAATGAATATATGTATACGGTAGAAACAATAACGTAGCAATAAAAAAATTAATGCACGAAGAATTTTGTTATAAATGTATAGAAGCCATGACGGTGAATAGCTTACCAAAGATATAATGCAGACACGCAGATGACACCAAGAAACCTACACACGTCACCTAGGGGGAAACACCTTACGTTACGTGCAAAATATGAAGTCATAATTGGATTTCCCAGTAAGTTTACATCCGCGTACCATATCTAGGTTAGAGCATTTATTCTCACCGCATCGGATGGCACATCTTGATTTTTCGTCTGTGTAGTATTCTCTGCGTAACGCACGAAGCAACGCTTTCAAAATTGGTCGTGGTGTGAATCCAGCCTTGAGTGTCATCATACTCAGATTCGATTTTACACTTGTCTCTTCTGATCAACGTTGAATTACCGATGGGTTATTACTAATCAAAGTGTTAATACTATTCACTCACACATTCTTCTATATATATATATATATATATATATATATATATATATATATATATATATATATATATATATATATATATATATAATTGTGTATATATATAGCTTTTAAAGCACTGTCACTAAAATACGCGTTTCAAAGGGAGACCGAAAATGTTATAAACAAGGTGGTTCATTTTCATCAAACTACCTTTTTATAATCTATTTTCTTCTAATCTTACGTGTTTTTCATGCAACACCTATTTGATCAGTATAATCTTTTGTACCATTCTCAGGCATAAGCCGCAAAACCTCAACCACCGACCTACTGACGACCTCGGTGTCAAGGTCAACGTTCAGGTCACACGAAGGCAGGTCAGAGACTATCCAATCCGAAGATAGCTCAGAACCGGAAATGATTGACTCCGGATGTGGAACCGATGAGCTTTCACCTTCTCAGAAGTCCCCGCGGGAGTCCCTCACCGGACGCAGCAAGCATCTACCCCAAGTGTACGAGTCCAGCAATTATGAACACTCCACAACAGAATCTGAAGGCGAGACTTACCCCAGCAGTTAGCGGGATGAAGCGGCGAAGGAAGACCTCTTCAAATAATATACTTACAGTCGATTAATGTTATCCCGCCAGTCCCTCGCAGGAGAGCATTTAACACTAATGTTATCTCTATGCCAATATTTTCACCGACGTCAAGTAACTTGTACATAGTTTAACATTCCCCAAACGCTCTTCGTGGAGCATAATGTAATCTTATAGGATGTTATCTGAATCATATTTGGTATGTCTACTGTTGTAATGTCCATTCATACTTAGGGACGAAGTTTCATTAGAAATTACAACAAAATTTGTTCGCACGACCACTGGCGGATCCAGAGAGGGGTGCGAGGGAGAGCACCCCCTTTTTCAGATACTTTAGATGTTAACCGTACACTCGGCCAAATCACACTCACACACACACACACACACACACACACACACAAACACACACAAACACACTTTTCAAAATCTTGGATCCGCCTGTGAGGACGTATTAAAAATAATATGTTAAGGAAAATATATTTATTGAGCTCAATTCTGAGGTATAAAAGTGTATTCCTTGAAACAGTAACCGAAATATTTGCTATCCCTAACAACAGTTTTTAAGACTGTACCGACTGACAGATCCATTTCATTGTTCACCGACCCGCTGTCCATCTCATGTTCAATGTGTGGATTTGAATGTTGTTATTTGTGTGTTGAACTGTACAACCCAATGAGAGTATGCACACTATGTTAGGGCGTCCTGCGTCTGTTCAACATGGTGACGGAGAATAATTAATGTCATGTACGTCAGCAATAGGTTTTCGAGAACCACGTGGCGCCCGGTCTTATAATCAAACATACTCTTTATATACATCAGCAGTTGATGAACCAGGGTCCTTAAAGAATTACTTTTTCTTTGCATTTCATGTATTTATCGTTAATAGCTATCTAATGGACCCAAGTACTACTTTCACACTGTTGAAAAGCTTCGTGTGACAATCGTTTATATTAGATCTCTTGAAAGTGGTATACGTTCGTTATACAATAAGACAGTATCGACCGGCGTCGGTATTGATATTTTTCACGCTGTCTTCAAGTGTTGTGAATGCTAAAGGGTAAATGCTTTAGGCTGCTTAGAAGGAAGGGCATTTGTTTAGTCCATATGGCAATAAGAATGATCTGGAATACAGACAAGTACACCATCATATCAGCGAGGGACGAGGTAGGGCGATGACTTGTTTTAGCCCACTGAAAATGTCAACTTTTAAAGTTATTGGAGCCATTTCTATTTCTATATTTTGGGCGTTTTAGAATAATGGGAACATAGCATACAGATTCTTGTCCAAAAGAGAGATAAGGGCATATTTACCTGAAAATGTAACTATTTTAGCCTCTACGATTGGGAATACTATTAGATGCATGGTTTCTTAAATTTCATTGGTTACTTCTCAATGCAGATTCAGTGGTCCAAACATTATTCTTATCATACCTTGTCCCGTCTTGTTGATTCCAAATGTCACTGATAGATATAGTGAATTGGGTACTCTGGTTTGTCATACTCCCCTGAACGGATCGTATTCGTTACAGTATTTCTATTACACCAGACACAGAAAATTGATTCAACCTAACCACTCAGATCTACAAGTCTCACATTTTTATAATATATTTCTTTTCTTACTGGAGTTGTTCCTTTCATGGTTAAATGGCAAAGGCTTTCTGTAGCAGTTCTTTATTTTGTTATTCATTCGGAGTTCACATGCTGTATTGTGTTTTACTTTGGATAATCTCAGACGTGGGACTCTTGAATAACAGAACATGCATTAATGTAATTTGGAACACATCAAAGAAGCATCTTGAAGAAATGACTGGTAAACTTGCAGCTATTTGGGAGTAGTAAATCCTTTTGTGATACAACAAGTGTTACCAGGATGCATCCGGACATTTGGCTTTGGGTAAACTGCCCCCGGCTCATTTCACCGTCGCTGTGTACGCGAAGGCGATGTTTCCGAACTGTCGTGACAATGAGAACATATATAGATCCCACCATAAACCTTTCAAATGGCATGAGTCGGCTATTTCTTTAACATGTATGTTAGCCCTGCGTTGCCAGTTGACGCCACGGGGATGTCACCTGACACATGCATTATGTATATAATGTTACACAATGACAAAGGAATAGTTACCTTGTGTAAATTGATTGATTCAAAGAATTAATCAGAAAGCAGCTAGTGGGCCGGTACGAGGTCATTTAGTAACGACTGATAAAACTATAGTTGTGTAGTTGATGGCGATACATCAACATGTTAAATTTAGCAATATTCGATCCCGTAGTTTCGATAGAATATCTAGACAGGAGTTCAAGACGCCGTTCTAAGACTCCTTCCTGACATTCCTGAAACCTATTGTATTGAGTTTGAACCCAAGATTCGTCATCGCTGATACTTAGTTTGTCAACCACGGGGGATGATATCAGGTGTTATTATTAGATATCGGCTGAGATTACTCAAATTCCTCTATAAACATTCCCGACATGGGTACAATGTGTGAAGCCCATTTCTGGTGTCCCCCGCCGTGATATTGCTTGAATATTGCTAAAAGCGGCGTAAAACTAAATTCACTCACTCACTCACTCACTCACTCACCTCTATAAACAATTCTTTGGAGTATTTGTATGCACGCAGTAACAGTGAACCGTCTATTATGGCGCGCCTATTTGAATGAGAAAGGACACGCAGCTTTAAATTAATCATGTATGCTTCGCCGCTGTAAACATAGGGATGACTTTTAAACTTTCACTTTATGTCGAGCAATATTCCGTCAACGTTTCACAACGTTTGAGATGCAATCGAGCATGCTCTTTCTACCAAGATTTCAGCGTCATACAACTCTTTCTTAGAAGTTGTTTGATCAATGTTACAGCATTCGAGGCCTCAGTAAAGCTTTCAAAAAGCTTTATGCAAAACATGTGGAGGACATTCCTAAATTTGACGCATCAGCGCCCAAAATGATGACCGATGCCATGCCCAATTTTGACGTGCCGTATGTACAGACATTTCATATCAATACGGAAAGGGGTTTGTCGCTTTTATTGATAAAATCTACATTGAGGTGAAATGTGTTTATATCATAATATCAAACTTAATCTTTCACTTTTAAAAACGAAAGTCCCTCATAGATTTGATTTCGGAGAGTGGGATATTTGAGTCCGAGGACAGTGGTATTGTAGCATTAATAACAGGCTGTTAACAACATTCCTGGTGAGAAGAGGACCCTTACTACCTAAGCTTGTAGTATATGGCGACTTCGTGGATCGGGTGGTCAGGCTCCGTGACCTATGTCGTGCCCCGACAGCGTTGGTCGTTGCTCATTATAACAATCACTGGTTTGTCTGGTCGATTATTAACTGGGGGCTGTCATATTGGAATATTGCTGCATGTGGCATTTAACAATACGGAAGCAAACCAACTAACGGAAGCAAACCAACTAACGTAAGGAATATAAACACGTATCTAGTGTTGTGCGGCAGAGTCATATCAGAGTGTTGTCTTATCCGGTTTGTTAGTTGATTTATAAACTGCTACTGGGTTGAGAACAGAAAGGCCGATTAGTCGTTTCATTGGACTGTGTAAATAACTTCAATTTACGTTCTTTTCACAAAATGCAAGTAACAATAACATGTGCTAGTCCTTTTTACTTCACTGGGTCGTCCAGTAGATTAAGACGTCGCAATGAGCTATGCAGAGTTGCGTCCCTTAGCTTTGCCAGGATCCTATGATCGTGGGTTCCAATTCCCATATTTGCCCAGGGTATGATACTTGGATTGTCAGCACCATACCCCTGTTCGTGGGTTTTGACAAAGTGTAAACATCAGACCTGCATCACTTCGGGCTTTCCTCCCACATCAAGCTGACATGCTAAGTTCAAATGGAACACTGTTCAGATTGGTTTGAAACTCAATCCATCCAGTCACCCTGAAGGAGATTGAAAGACAAGAATCAAGAGGAAACACACCATACTGACCCTATTTTTCTATATTCTAGTTTCACATCTTCGTTTAATGGTTAATAACCAATGACATCTACAAGATTATTACACGATATATCCGTCTTGTCTACAATCTTATATCAGACTTCAAACTGGTCGTTTTTAACATTCAGCTCGTAAGCAGTCGACATGCTTGTATATTTCTAAATGTATCGACTTCGATTATACCGTTTTAACAGTGATATTCATCCAACCTTGTGATTAACCAAATGGATATTATGAATTATGCATTTCCTAGTTTTCAGAATTGAAAGATATCGGTTTTATTAAAATTATGATTTGACTGTATATACCCCTTCCCATAATAAATGTTACATTATTGTATATACATTTACTGTAAACTGTTAATATTATGGTTTATTTCATTCATATGTAAATTAATCTAAAACAAAATCAATAAATATTTCAGATCTTTGTTGATGTCTGTTTTCCCATGTATGCCTGGTGTGTTATACCCCGGGTTAGAATAGGTCCTCAGGACTTGATTGCTTGAGGCCAGAAGGTGTGACCAGGCTCGGTCACTTAGCTAATATATGCTTGTTTGTCGTTTAACGCTGCACTAAACAATAACCCAGCTTTTGTTACGGCGTTTTGTAATTAATCGAGTCTGGATCAGACAATCCACTGATAGACATCATGAGCATCAATCTACGAGACTGGGATGCGATGACATACCTCAATCAAGTCACCGAGCCAAACCACCCGATCCCGTTAGTGGTCTATTACGACAAGCATTGTCAGCTGAGGATCAGTTCTTACCCCGATCTTCATGGGTCCACTTGGATAATAGTGTACCCCGACGTCGTGAGACGTTGCCTATACTATCAGCCCCTGGTTATTTCCAGGCCACCGTTATACAGCTGGAATTGTACCGACTGTGGCGCAAAACAACATTTATATCGTCACGTCATTACATCCCTGTGCATACATATCAAACAAGTGGTGAAGCAGTATCTATACACAAAGAAAGAAGTTAAGCACACCCTAATATATTTCATTATTGTTTGGTCCCAATATTTGTAACAGTCATGAAAGATATAATTACGATAAGAATTGTTTTCTCGAGATTGTTGTAATCAGTCATGCGTGACGAAAGCTCACGTGCCGTGCATGCTACCCTCGAGTATCTCTAAAAGCAGTATATTCAAACGTTAAAATTGCTTTCTTAAGCTCGGTTTTAAACAGTTATTCCATGACATTGTGTGACCATGGCACGAAGGCGATTATCAAACGCCACAAGATGACAAATAATCGGCATGCATAACGCAGGAATGTCTTGTAATGCCATTGGTCGGAATTTGGGGCATCATCACACTGTCGTAAGCCGTTTAGTCGAGAAACGTGCTCAGACCGATGATGTACAAGACCGTCCCAGATCCGGAAGACCTCCTGTAACGACACATCGCGAAGACAGGGACCTTCTTCGTCTCATACGCCAAGAAACCTTTTTAACAAGTACTCGTCTGAAACAGCTGTTCCAAATCGTCGTTTCAGCACCAGAACTGTCAGGAACCGACTGAAAGCAGCAGGACTGAGGGCTAGACGAGTCATAAAGCGTCCTTTGTTGAGAGATCACCACAAAGCTGCTCGTTTAGCATGGTGTATTACGCGACAGAACTGGAATCTGAGAACTGGTCCATTGGTCCGACGAAAGTCGCTTTCTGCTCCACGTCACTGATTGAAGAACGAGAGTTTGGAGGCACCGAACACGGCCTGCACCCGAAGAAACATTAAACCGACTGTTGCATACGACGGGGGCTTGGTAATGGTTTGGGAGTGTTTCTCTCATGATTGCAGGTTATAGTTTTGGTCACCATAAGGGGCAACTTAACAGGGGCTCAGGACATCCGGGACTTTTTGAGGCCAGTTGCGTTCCTCATTTTGACAACCACCCTCTTGCTACTCGACCTCAGTACATGGATGACAATGCCAGGCCTCATCGTTCGCATGCAGTCGTGGATTACATGAGGGCAAATGCAATAACGACTCTACCCTGGCCAGCAATGAGCCGAGATTTGAACCCCCTTGAACATGTTTGGGATATTCTGGGGCGGCGCATACAGGCACGAGATCCTCCTGTACAAGATTTACGCCAATTGGAAGCAGCATTGCTTCAGGAATGGTTGTTGTTGACCTATCGACAGACCCAACGTCTGACTGGAGGCATGAGAAGTAGGGTGGAATGCGTCATCCGGGCTACTGATCTGTTTCACATGTCATGTCAAGTAGAGACTTTAAGGCACATTGACACATGAAACATCAAACGTAACTTGTTTACTTAATTCTACAGCTCCATACTTTTTCAGGTATTGTCTAACGTCAAAAACAGTACCTGTGTTACCATGGTGTTTTTGTCAGTAAATTTCAATCACAACTCACCAATATCTTCTTTATTTGTTGGCAAATGTTTTTTTCTATCCAATGACATTGGGATCGCCCAGCTCCTGTGGTCAGTCATCTGATGCCATGATTTTTGCCATTTGTCAGGGTTCAGAAATAGGGGTGTGCTTAACTTTTTTTTCTTTGTCTATATATAAGGATTTGTGATAAAAAAAATAAAATGTTTTCATGAATCAGGTTATAAAGGGTGATTGATCGTCAATATATCAGCAATATGGAGACGAAAACAATTGTGTTCATGATGAGTACATTAATATAACAGTGCATAATAAAAACACATGCGGACCGGAATAAAAGACCACTTGATATCTTGTCACACTATCTTCCACATACGTCAGCCTACTTCCTGAACTTGAGACCGCCTCCGTGGTCTAGTAGTAGAACGTCCGCTCAGAGAGCCAAAGGTCCGGGGTTCGATCCTTGGCCGCATCATACCAAGAGACGTTAAAAGATTGTACTTGTTGTTACACTGCCTGGCGCTCGGCATTAAGGGCCTTAGTTAAAGACTGGTCGGCTCGAAGTCAGTATACTGTGTCTGAGGGGCGTATTCATGTTAAACTGCGGCATGGTATATCAGTGGGCTAGCACTATAATTCGGCATTAGTCCTGACTAGTACAAGCAGACACACACACACACACACACACACACACACACGTGCATGCACGTCGCTATTTAAGTACAATGATCTTAAACGCGACGTTAAACTCCATTTCACCTCACCTCACCAGAACTGGAAGTTGACCTGGAAGATGTCTCAAGCGATATTTCAGCCTGTCGGCCCCTGGCTTGCCTGGCATAGACACGACCCTTTGAGGAGGATGTCATATAGCTGCAATATTGCTGACTGCGAGGTACAGTAGCAATTACTCTCTCATCTACACTGTGAACCTCACTTCATGAGAGACAAATTCACGATCGTGTTTACTGTAACGGTACATGACAAGCATTGGGAAACAACCATTGTAAACGCCACGGAAACATGAACAGAGAGAAAGTATTTATGATCTGAAGAAGTAGACGTCGAAAACCGTACACTTACTGCACAACAAGGTCCTGATTAGGAGGGAGACGCCATTTCTAGTTTAATAAACAGACTTTTAAATATTGGAAAGAAAATTGTCATACATGTTCAGCTGGCTGACAACCAATCTTTTCTGGCATGACCAAGGCCTTTAGAACGAGTGAAAAAGGTAGAATTTCAAAATTGAAGTCCGTGACCCAAGATGAATTATTTACAATATGGTCTAAGTGTCTTTACATCATCTGAAACAATCCGCTTGGTCATATTCAAATATCAGAAAAAAACGTTTCTTGAAAACCTCTAAGATTAGCCTTTTCGGCAAATTTCAGCATTACCTATACATTTAGAGCTAGTTGTTCGGTTATAAGACATAATAAATAGTCTTTCGTCTATCAATTAAGACACTGAATATCTAAAAGACGCAATTTAATATCTTTTGCGGTTGTGTAAATATATTCCCGATTGGGAACATAATGTACTAAGAACCATGCCATAATGTACACCAATCGTAATCCCACGAAAACTGCAACAAGATTCGCTTCCTAAACCACTGGCCTTTAGATTTATGTGTACTTATATTGTCGATCATGCAACTTTCTATGTACTTATGTGGTTGGAATCATCACCGATAGGGTACAGATTTATGGCCTCCGTCGCTGAGCGCAATGGTGGATACAAATCTCTACTGGGCCGGTTTCCAACTCGATAATTAAATATATTGGTGCACGATCTCAAATATAAGTACTCGTATTTGAAGTCAAGTGTCTTAGGAAATGAATTATGCTTGATCACGACGCAAGCACTCTGCTGAAGCAAATAAAGTGTGATGCAGATTTGGATCGGGGATCTATTAGGAAAAACAGTTAGGGACAGCCCGTAACTCTGTGTAGCGTCAAGTCAACATCACAATCGTTTAGGAAGGAAGCAGCACAGGGGTACGCTTACCACAGCTGTTATACTCGTATCCTCGTCCACAATATTGCAGATGGTGAAGCCTGTCACGAATTTGAAGTTGTTTTGGTCATTTTCATCCTCTGTGACCGTTGAGTAGTAACCATTCTTATTTTGTGGTTTTCAATTTCAAAACTCCATGCTAAAAACAAATCACGCATTGGTGTGCTTTGTTTGTAGTTTCAGAGAAGGAGATCCTTAAAACATTTACAATGTTGATATATTTTTTATCTTTTAGAAAGAACAGGTATATGAAAAAAGTGTCAGGTTGCGGTATCAAACATACAGTCACTGATCCTGACATAGCTACAACGATTCCGACTGCCTCCGTGGTCTAGTGGACAGAGCGTCCACCTTGAGGACGGAAGGTCAGTGGCTCGGTGGTACCAAAATACGTTAAAAGATGGTACTGGTTGTTACCCTGCCTTGTGCTCGGAATTAAGGGGCTAAAACCAGGACTGGTCGGCTCGGAGTCAGTATACTGCGTCTGAGTGGGGTATCCGTGTTACAACTACAGCATGGTATCTCAGTGGGTTAGTGCTATCAACCCGGTGTATAAGTCCGGACTAGTACAAGCAACCACAAACACGTTTATACAGTGCAATCTTGAACGCGACATTACACCCCATTTCAGGTCACCTCGCCAATATCCAATTGGACCAAGTCTCCGTACAATACAGATCAACTAACATCTCCCACATCTTATCGTTATTGATGCTTAGTTATGAATATTTAATTGGATAGCAGCTTTCGTGCTCAAAGAGATTCGCGGACTGCGATTATAGTCTACAGAGTCTGATTATGCTAGCTAACAACCTCCGGTATTTGTCATATCTCAATAAGAAAACTGATGGCTACGGGTTTTCTAAATGTTTCATTGAATCCCATCTTCATAAATATGGTATAATGTATTTACATGTATAACGGAAGACTGTCGTTTTTAATAAGAATGTAATTTTTTTCTGTAATTATATTTTTTTTATCTTATTAGATTGTCCCTTAATATGAGCTTAACGAAAATTCATGAC